TTCAATCTCTGCCTTATCCTGTTCATAAAAAAATAGGAGTTAATGATGATAACACAGTTGTGTGATCATACATATATTATTTTCATCTATATGGACTCATTTATGTATTCCTTTATTTTATATAAAGAGAATGGTCTTGGTTTTATTAGTGTGTATTATTTTTTAGATTAAAAAGAAAGGTGAAATCTTTGTACGATTTTCTGTTGTTTAATATTTTAAAAATATCTCATGTGGATATCACATGACTTCTTGTATGGCCTATTAAGTTATGCATATTTTTTGTTACATTTCATTTAAACTTATTTCCTTGAATTATTCTAATTCAATTAATTTATCCCTCAACGTAAGTTTAAAATGACATCAAACTTGCAAATTTCGAAATTAAAAACTATCCCGATCAATTTATGTTGCGTAAAAGTTAAATTTCTGTGACTCCCGCCCCCCCATAACGAGTATAAAAATTTCCCAAATATAAATATAGCAACCGGGAGATCGCATTAAAATTTAGATTTCGTTATTTGTCGAAAATTATTATTATTTTTTTTAATTTGACTTTGCCAGACGTGAGTATTTTTGTCATTTAAAACCTTTCTGTAATTGGAAGCATTTATTAACCACGATTGCAATATAAGGTCGGGTAAGGGTGTGTATATATATTATATATATATATATATATATATATTATATATCGAAAATTATTATTATTTTTTTTAATTTGACTTTGCCAACGTGAGTATTTTTGTCATTTTAAAACCTTTCTGTAATTGGAAGCATTTGATTACGACCAACGATTGGCAATAAAAGGTGGGTATTGTGTGTGTGTATATATATATATATATATATATATATATATATATATATATACACACACACACTTTAAAATTCCCATATAAAAGGCTTACTTATTTTTACACGTTTAATTTCTACGCTACACCTTTTCCTTTACCTAGTGATTCGACGTAAATTCCCGTTTCGAGAAAATAATTGCCCTTTTGGGCAAAGAGGAGTAATTGTAAGACATACATACCCTTTGGAAGTATGTACTTCTCCCTGGCCCACCACAATTTACTCTCGCGCGTTTTCTCTACTGTCACTCGCAGTAAATAAATATGTTTGAAGTGTCTTTGGTGAAAGTTATCTGTAGCTTAGGCACCTCAACCACACCACTTTGTCACCTCAACCACATATGTAATCCACCAACTTATGTCAAACAATTGCCTCTGTATGGCCTTGTAAATCTTTCTTAAATCTTATATAAACTCCCGGTGCGGTTCCAAGAAGTTGTTGCCTCTGGATAGTGGAAGACGCGGAACATATGCCTGTTTACCTCTGTTAAACACCAGGCGTCCCCGTTCTCCGTCACCTGTCACCTGTAGCTTATGCAGACCAAAGCATATTTGTTGCGTTTCTGCTACTATTCAATAATTACCTCATATTATCAAAAGTGGTTCTGCTAATATTAAAACCCGAGAATAAATGTTTAAAAAAAATTCCCGTTCTTATTGCTACCATGTTTCTTATTGGAAAATTATTGGTTCTGAATATGAAACAAATTAAAATTCCAGTTTTGATAAAATAATTTTGAAGTTCTTTAGAGCACTTTTGGTGCACAAGGAGAGGAAAGTAGGATATAGGGTGAAAAACTTTTTATCCATTGCCGGTTGAAACAGTTGCAGTTGGAACTATAGCAAAATTCTTTAGAACTCTCTCTCTCTATTTTTTTTTTTTTTTCTCTTTTTAAGACTATTGCAAGTGAAGTAACTGAATTTATCCGTGTTTGAAAAAAATCGAATTCAAGACTGCTTGAAGGGGGAAGGGGAAGAAAGAAAGACGCTGCAGCAATTTTTTAACCAAAGTAATTAGCAGTAACATCAATATAGGGTTACGAATCAATACACTATTGACAAACTGTTTGTACCACATGTAAAAAAATTATCATGTCTCTTCTACATGTCTGAAAGAAAAGGTGAATCCTAGAGAAGGAGATTATCATGTGCTAAAACATTTGGAGAATAAGGAAGAGAAAACGCATTTTCGCATCGCTAGAAGTGTAGCTGTTGTATGGTTTCCAGTGAGGTAAGGGTCTGGCGTGGTCTTGAAATAACAGGATATCATGTCTGATAACCACTGCTAGCCGCTTAATGCAACGATTTGGGACCATTTGTCTCATATTTTCACAATGCAGATCTGCTGCTATAGTCTCGACTCTGCGGAAGGGATAAATGATGGATAAAAGAGTAAAAGGAAAACCATCAAATTTTCATATCTCCATTGAATATAGAAATGATTTCGAAGTACTTTCTCTAAATTTCATACCCTCCCAACTTTTAAGTTGAATGAGATTATTTTATGAGATCAAAATCACTATCAATAATAATAATCATTTGCGGATGAGGCTGATCTGATGGCTGCGGCCAAACAGAAGGGTACCAGTGCCTTTTTAAAAGTTGATCATTGCTCGCCAAAACATGTGACACCACCCGGCGCATTTATAAAATTCAGCTTATACAATGAAGAATACAGTCTTCATCAAGATGTCAAGATGCGCATTATGTTAGTGAGTGGCCGCCGACTTAGCATCCTAATGAAATTATCGGTTGGGGGGTACATGAAAATGCCTTGCTTTTACGCTGTGGAGTAAAGAATTAAATTCAATAATTGTGAATTTGCGGCTAGCTAATGACCACGGGGTTATCCAAAACAATGAGTTTAATACAATCACCCATTAGTTTATCTTTCGATTTTCTTTTTGAAGTGACATTAAATCTCTTTCTTCCAATGAGTTTATAGTTTTTTTGTTGCATGAATCCTGCAGTTATGATTAATATTTCACCAGATAATAAACCATCGATGTCAAGTGACAAGGCGGGTCTATAACCTACGGCGTATCGGGAAATTTTCCCAATATCTGATAGCCTCGTCCTTTCCTGATCACCATGCATTGAAGAAAGCATTACTCTTCAGGAAAGAAGAGTGCGTTTTAAATAGTTTTTCTTCATTCGATTGGTGAACTCATGTGACATCTATATCTTCAGTTCTTTCAACTCGTTTTTTATTGTTAAGTGGCTGTAAACAATCGAATAGTGATCAATCAACTTCTGCAAGACCTCCAATACACATCTTTTATTGGATTCGATTCATTCTACTTTGGTAGGATTAGTAGAAACATAAGAATGGTGACTGGGCTTATTTTTATTATTTTTTACTTTAATCTAAGCTTTGTTCATCAGAGCCTAACGGCATGTTCATCAGCAGTTTCTCCACCAAAATTTTTATTACTGTTTTCAGTTGCAGTCTTTGCAGGATTTCTCAGTTTAAATCACGAAAAAAGAGAAGGCTCCTATTTGATTTGTTTTCATAGTTGACTAAACTATAACATTGTTCTATATTTGCACCTACATGCAATAATATTACATTTTGACAAATACAGATGAGGCAGTTATTATTGAATTATTCATGTTTGCACATGCCTCGTATCACCCGACTTGCATAAACAGCAGGTATAGCTTTCTCCTCAACAAACAGACTTTCATACACACTTTTTTCGACTATTTTGTTTGATTATCCCAGTACCTAAGTCAAATTTAAATGAAACGCTAAAATTTGATAATATGCTTTCGCAAAATAATTCGCTTTTAAAAATCCAACTGGGCATATAATGGTGACGATGCTATTAATTCCTAACCTTTCATTTTACGATTTTATAAATGTAAAACATTTGCAATATATGCATATGATAAATGCATCAGAATTAAATAATTGTCAAAAATACAGTTGAAGTCTGTTTTAAATTAGCAGAATATTGAAATTTCAGTTGTAGAATATGTAAAGAGTTTGGAATTCATTGATCACTTCCCTGAATCTAACTGACATATATGCAAAGATTTTTATAGCCAATTTTTTTTCCTATGGTTGTTTGCAAAGCATAAGTATTTCATAAAGTTAGTACAGAAGATTAGATTTTTGTGAAGATTAGATGAATTTAAATGGCAATATATTTACAGCAACAATTTTCCTAACTTGAAAGTTTCGAAGTTAAATGTACTTTTCCGATTCGAAAGTTTCTTTAATATTTCAGTATCTCAATATCTTAGCACTCATGTGTCTCATTATTCTTTTGTGCAAAACGAAAATATAATTCCATTACCATAAAGTTATAATAAAATATTTAAGAATTACAAGACTTTTAGAATGAGAGTTTAAGAATTAATTTGCTTTTTTTTTAATTATTCATTTTAAAAATTTTAATTCAATGCAGAGAATGTCTCTTTTATAATTTAAAAATTTGTTTGATAGGATTTATTTTAAGTATGCAAGATAACTATTGTCAATACTGTTTGAATTATAAAAATCTTAAATCATATCTTGAACATTGATTTTATTTGCATTATTCAAGATACGATTTAGAATTTTTTTGTTTTTTTTCTTCTTTTCAAATTCAAGTCTTGTACAACATCTTCCTGTTTACTGAAATGGATAAACTGACAAAAGTTTTATTTAGAACATAGGATTTTCTTAGTATCATCTACCTTTTTACCTTAGTTTTCATCATTTCCTACAGCTACACAATTGTAATTTAGAAAACAAATCCCAATTCCAAGAAACTAAATACTGTCACTAATTCTTTAATTAGAAAGTACAGATTTTAATGTTCTTTGCCTCACAAATGGCCAAATAGAATATTGTAGTTCGATCTGCTTTGAGTTTGAGTCCAGGCAAAATGGGCTGGCTGCATGATTGGTTTTCATGGTTTTCCCCATGTACAATGTGAAAATGAGCCAGTTTCCCTCAGACAGTTCTCCACTAAGGCACCTTTCCTGTCAGACAGATAACCTTTGTGGCTTTGCCATATTCAAGTAACCTAGTCTGAAATGTTTATTTTCAGCTGTTGTAAAGTAGATGTAGTGCGAGTGCTGACTGGCACATGATGATGATAATAATAAATTGTTCTTCTTAAATTTTTTGTATATAAAATCTCTGATGAAAACTCTCTATTTCAGGCTATAAGAACTCCTTCTCGAGATGCAAATGGTGTAAAAATGCTTTTCCATTACTACAATCTTCTTTATTTTATTGATAAAAGATTTTTCGCTTCTCATCGAAATTTAGGATTGCACTTTGAATGGTAAGGATATTGTAATTGTTTGTAAATTTGCAAGAATGTTTTGAATTTTAATATTGATTTTACACACATTTCCTTTTAAATAATTCTATTTAATAGTCTAAGAATATCTTAATTGTAGACATTGTTTCAAACACTGAATTTAAGTCTTTGGATGAACTATTTTAGGAATTACATTTCTGATCAACTCATGCAGCAATGATTTACTTAGACTATGTTCCAGATAAATTTTAAAAGCTTTACTGCACTTTGCACTAAACTTTTCAGGTAAATACAGTTATAAGTTACTTTCTAGAGAAAAATTTTACGTATCATCTGGAACTATAACCAGTGGTGTTGCTATGGGTGGCACATTTTTAGGGGTGCCAATTCTAGCATGACATTATTTTATAGGAGTTAGGTAGGTGGATCTTCAAGGTAGGTGAAGAGTAATTAGAGTTTAATTCACCCCATAGAATTAAATTAAGAACAAAACAGTTTTTATACTAGATAAAATTCTCAAAGATTTCGGCAGGTACATACTTTTGCAATACCTTCTTTCTTCGATCGAAATTTTTGGGTTACAGCCAAGAACATCGCGGACGAAGACGTCGCGGAGAAAACAACGCAAGGCGAAAACATCGTCGCGGAGAAAACAACGCAAGGCAAAAACATCGTGGCACAAGACATCGTAGGAGAAACGAGAGCACAGAGAAAACATCGCATTTCTAAAACACCGTAATACAAAATATCGTGGTCGAAAATAAAACGGTTAAAAAACTTCGCAGTTTAAAAACATCGTCGTCGAAAATATCGTGGTAAAAAATAAGCTACCTAGAAATCATCGCATGTCGATAGCATCGCACATATGGGTTTGTCAAATCCCATACTGACATATTATGTAACTGCTATAACTAAAAAATAGACATCCAAAAAATTAATTTCATGCTATACATGAAAATGTTAAACGACACTTTAAAAATAAACGGAAACAAAACAAGATATAATTTTCACTAGAACAATATCAGATTAACAAATGTGAAAGAAAATAATTTGATAATCAACTAAGCAATTTTTATAACTATGCAGTCTTAGACTGTATTTTTCGTAAAAAAAAAATATTACTAAAACTTTTTTAAAAAAGGTTAATTTATTAATGACCTTTGTTAATTAACTATGCAAATTTTAAATTCCATTACGTTCTATAAGTTACATTAATTTTCTACTCATTTTCAATCTTTTAATACTTCAGTTTCCTTATTTTTCAGCAAAAATTTATTAGTTCGCTCAAAAATATGAAATATAGAAGTAGAAGCATCCCTATTTCCTTCTTGCACTCCCCAATCATTATGCGAACATGCATCTTTTAAAACCTGAAAAGGTATGTGTGCGATGTTATCGTCATGCGATGATCTGTAGGTGCTTCATATTTTCCACGATATTTTCGATGACGATGTTTTTAAACTGCGAAATTTTTTAACCGCTTTATTTTCGACGATGATATTTTGTACCGCGATGTTTTGGAACTGCGATATTTTCTCTTTGCTTTCATTTCTTTCATAATGTTTTGTACCACCAAAGGTACTACGACGTTTTCGCCTTGCGTTGTTTTCTTATCGACGTTTTCGCCCGCGATGTTTTCGGCGGACACCAAATTTTTTAATGCAAATTATACATGTCAAATAAATTATGATTGCTGTGATATTCATAAGGAATAATTCCTTGTTAATGTACTTCTCAGTTTTATTTCCATTATTTCTACAGAAATTGAAATAGGAATGTCAAAGTCATTTTGAATTTTTGCAATTTATTCTAAAATACATTCTCCATGTGTTAACTTTCCTCTCAATGACTGTAAACATTGCTATTTGTGAGATGCATTTTGTGAATAAAGATGATCTAAGTATTGAAGAACTGCAAATGTATATTTTGTATTCAAGAAATCTTTCTGTACTGTTCCAAGACTAAGTAGGTCCTAATATAGGTATCTCGCAGTCACTCATACGATTCCATTACGAATATGAAAAGTACTCACTATTGAGTACAGCTTCGTGATTGTGATGTTAAATTTACCACCAAGATTTGCTTAAGCCGCCCATGATGGGAGGATACCCACATCTTAGTGGCATGCCTGTTAGCTAAAAGAGACATCTGTAATATTAGCGATGGTTTTGCAAACAACAACGGCAAAAAATAAAGTCTAGAAAAAGAAGAATATAATTTTGAAATGCTGGAATGAAAGTTTTTCTTTCAAAAATAAACATAGAGGTTTAATTCATTTCTCTACATGTCATTTTGACATTTTTTACAGTTATATGTTTGTATATCAAAAGTGACAGCAAATTCAAAGACCCCCCCCCAAGACAGCAAACTCAGGGTTGCCCCAAACAGCAAAAGTTCTTGTTAGATTTCTGGCTACAATAGAATTCCCTTTATTTCAGGGCGGGGAAGGAAAAAAAAAAACTCTTGTGGGTACACAACTTGCATTTATTAATCAGTGATGTAGCTATTTAGAAAGAGCAACTATACTTCATAGTGATAGTTACTTGTTGAATCAGAGACCGAAAATTTACTGAAGTATTGAAATAGACTCTAAACAAAATGTTCAGAGGATATGAAATTTTATCTAAAGTAAATATATTCATAATATAGTGGAATACTATTTCATGACTAGCATCTTCTGTGCTAGTGTTACATCTAATTCCTATTTCAAAAGTTAGCAGTAATTTTAAAGTAAAAAAGTTATCTTTACTTTTATAAAGGGTAAACATTTATAACAGATAATTAATTTTATTTATTTCTTTTCTTTATTTTAGAAAGTTTTCTTCAATAGTCATTTGTTTTATTTCATTAATTCAAAAATCTAATATTCTCTTCCTTAACATCATCACATTTTAATTAATAGTCATTCAAAACACTTTGTAAAATTAGCTCTTATACGTGAGTGTTTCTTTTAATTAATTCCATTTTCCAACAATACGTAATTCAGTAAAAGTGTGTTTAAAATTATCATGTTGTTTTGGTCACCATGTTGCAAAACTCTGTCTGAATTTAATTCATTCATTTCTCCAGTAAAAAAAAAAAAAAAAAAAAAAAAAGCAAAAACAAAATAAGCAATCAGTGATACAGGTAATCCACTTCAAAAATCAAAATAAACAGGCAATCCACCGTAGTACAAATCCATGGCACATTTGCAAGTTTGTTTTTAATATTCTAAATATAAACAAAGTGTTGCCAAACTATATTAATTTTAAGGAAAATTACATTTTGAGTTGCTCAGAGCACTAAAATTTAATTCTGAAATTTGGACTGTTATTATAATTGCTGAAAGAAATGGAAAACTAGATAAGAAGAGAAAATGTACAAGCTAAATTTAATGTTTAGAATAAAATAGCTCCTTTTGGTAGAAAAAAGCAAACATATTGTTCAGCCTAAAAGTGGATTATTCAAGTTATAGAGGAAAGGAAAAGATCATATTCATAATGCCCAACTGGACATATCCATTGAATATGGAGTTCTAAATTTCTCTGAGACAGATTTTGCTCAAATTTCATTAAAACAGCAGAATTCTACCATTTTATTATTTACTCACAGTTTTAAATTTTACTATAAACTGAATGTGTAAAATTCTTTTAATCAATTTCATAGTTAAAATTGAGCATTTCCATGATGGAAAATATTATTGTCAGTGTTAACTAATTGGCACTTACTTAAGATCATTTAATTTTTGAATAATACAATTTATCAGATTCATTTGGGTTGTCTTTATTTCAGAATGAAATTTGTGATTCAATTTGTTATAGTTTAACATTGTAAAATTTAACTTTTTCAACTTCAGTTTATATCTGTAAGTTCAAATATATGTAAAACAAAATGTATCTTTAATTTTCAACAGTCGCTTAGATTTCGTAATTAATTTTCATTATTTTCCCTTTCTACACGAGAAGCAATAACTAAAGCAAATTTCTGTAAATTGCATCATTTCAAAATTAATCCTTGTCATGTGATTTGTATATATTGTAAATGTACACAAATCATATGATTATGGTACATAATGCTTCAACCAATAGTAATACTGAAATTTAATGAAATGGAATCTTAACTAGTAAACAGAAATAAAGGGAAACAATAACTGAATTACAGTCAAAAGTCTTTAATCCGAACACCCATAATCCGGAATGATCTATAATCCGGACCTCAAAGCTACAAACTTTCTGCGCATGCGCGTTTAATGTATAACGGACAGTATAAGCTAAGCTAAAATTATCTAATTATCTATTTCACTTAATGTTGCAGATTGCGTTGTTCCTTAATCTTCGAATTGGATCCGGCTTATTATCTTTTGAAGACTGTTAGAGCAATTTTATAAAAGTAAGCTTGAACTTCCGATTATGTCAAATAGAATTTCCGATGCTGGAACTCCCAAAGATCTACAAAGCGCAAGTATTTTCGATGTCCATCAAACAAAAGTGGAATTGCTGCAAAAAAAATGGATAAAGGCATATCCTTTGTTTCTCTAACCATTCCGAGATCTGTTTATCAATTTCACGCTCCTCTGCGGGGGGGGGGACGTCGCGGCGCGCAATGAACTGGAAGTTGATCTCTCAGCACTATTCTTAACTTCAGGGCAGATGTTTTTATTTTATTATAATTCCTTACTAAATGTAGTATTTCATCTCGACGTATTCCGTCTTTGATATGATTTAAATCAAATTCCTCGTCATTATAAATATCACGATTACACATCAAATAGTTATCTGGTTGCAATTTTCTAATTTCGACTATGCGTAATGTATGCTTTACGCATACGCGCGTTGAAAGAAATATTTAATAAAGTAAACAAATAAATATTAAGCCTTTTTTGGGGGGGAAATTTTGATACCCTTTAGATCATAATTGCTCTTTATTTCATAAATTACGGTTTCATATTTTTAATTTTATAATTTCTGCATGCCATCTTACCAGATTTAAACTGATGATCTATAATCCGGAAAATCGATAATCCGTAATCGCCGAAGTCCCGACGAGTTCAAGACTTTTGACTGTATTCTTTACCAAACCTTCATTTGATAAACTGTGCATTTCTTTTTCACTTCTCCTACTAGTTTACTGTCAACTGCTGCTGTTTCTTGCTTTAAATACACTATGAAAATGTAAAAGAATACAAATATAATTGTTGAAAATTCATATGAGCATTGCATCAAATTAACTTTGTTTATGAAAATTTTCTTATCAAGAATAAAGAAGAATTCAACTGGTTGTATAGCTACTACATCTTTCTGCAAAGTTCCATAATTAAGCACCTACATCATCCATTTTTAACATAAAGATTTTATTTACTGATATATACTGTAAAAATTTAACTCTTGTGAGATCTCTAAGAAATCAAATATATAAATTTTTAATAGGTTTGTCACTATTTATTATTTAATAATATATATCATAATTTAAAAGCACCTAAAATTCAAAGTATATTGAATGAATTAACAGAAGAAACTTCATTGGAATATTCAGTGTATTTCATTTAGTTTTTCTATTAATGAACTTTTTTTTTTTCCTCATTTCAAAGGTTTGACAGCTTGACTGGTTTGCCAAGCATGCAGAAAAGTGTAGCATTTGAGAAAGCTTGTATATTATTTAATATAGCGGCCTTATACACCCAAATAGGTGCTAAACAGGTAAAGTATATATTTAATTTACTTCATGTAAATGTTTTTGTTTATGTAAATGTCTCATGTAAATGTTTTTGTTTATGTAATCATCTCATGTAAGTGTTTTTATTATTTATTTAAATGTTTTTAGAATTTTTTGTTATTTGCTTCATGTAAATGTTTTTATAATGATTTTGTTTTTTTTGCTTCATGCAAATGTTTTTATTATTTATTTAGTTTCATAAATGCATTTTGATTTAAAAAATTCTTTACAATCTGTCAACATAAAAAATTTTTAAATTGATAGTAGTTGACATAATTTATGCTATTTAACAGCAGAAAACTGTGGATGAAAAATAAATTCTCAAATTATTTGTACATAATATACATTGAAATCAAACACTGTTGCTTGAAATGTTAAATCAAAAATATCTTTCTATCTTTCTCTCTTTTTTTTTTCTTCTAGAAGAATATTAGAAAAACTGACTATTGGAAAATGATTAAATTTCTTATTATAACTTAAATTATTCTATTCTACATATAACTTCTTATTATAATTTAAATAATTAAATTTTTCTTAGAAAAACTGACAATGAAATGTTGATACACGGTAAGCACTTAAAAAATTACATGCCTGTTAAAAAATCATTTTGAGTCTTTCTTGAGCCAGCATTTTGGTCATTTCAAAAACTTAGTCACTTTAAGCCAACTTCACAAGTGTAAAAAGAGCTTTTCAATGTTATTCAGTAACTGCTGTTCTAGATTTTCCCTACATTTTATTACATCTAGAGAGATGGAGGTGTTGTATTATGTGATCCACTATCTGCTGTTTAAAATACATGGTATTGTTCTATTCAAACCCTGTGCCCTCACTTTAGTTGCCCTATGCAATCAGTACAGTAGGCAATTCTTATAAATTAAATATGTTAATAATTTAAAATGAAATCTACTTTTATTTGTCATTTGTAAGAATAACATAGCTGCATCTCCAAAGATCACTACCCTAGACAGCTGCATAACAACTTAGCTTGCATCTCCAAAAATCACTAGCCTTGGCAGCCTATGCATGAAGCCAGCATTGGTTCTACAGATTTCATTTGATAGAAGTATGCAAATATAAATCAGCAATCAGTTTGTACCAAAATGAAAGTTTTTTTTTATCATTTGTTTTTCTGGAGTCTGTATTTAAACTTCCAGTATTAGACATATATGTATTTTGTCTATATTATAACTGATTTAAAACTATGAAAAATTACAACTCATTGTAGCAGAACATAATATTTTGCTTGATATTTCCTCAAAATATTTATATTTGTTAATCTATTATATTTGTTAAATTTTGTTTATTTATGTATTATGTTTGTTTGTATTTGTTAAATCTAAAAAAGTATTTAATCAATATTCACACTTTTCTTTCTTGATTATTTACATTTAGGATCGAACAAACAGTGAAGGAATGGATGCTGCAGTGGATAGCTTCCTAAGAGGAGCAGGAATTTTCCACTACTTAAAGCAAAATTTCAGCAATCCTCCGAGCACCGACCTATCACCAGAAGTTCTAGATATGCTTACTCATCTAATGCTGGTAATCCAGCTTCCCCGTAATCTACTACTATTACATTTCTGTGCTAAAATATGAATTTAATACATAGATTTTCAAATATTTAAAAATTTTTGAAAGCAAAAAGTCTGACTTATATTTATTTGATAGTGTTTTAAACTTAGCAAAGAAGTTATACTTTTAAATATTAGTAACTGGCAGAATGACCACTCACATATTGGCATTTGAAATTTTGTATCAACTGCCTGGAAAGAAAATTATTTTTGTGCTACTATTTAAGAAGTAGCATTTAGTTATTATCAGTAACTTATACAATGGATGAGAAATAAATTTGTTGTTCAGTTGACTAAATAAAAATATCATGCAATTTCACTGCAACAGAACATTTGTTAATATCAAGTTAATAAGCTGCTTATTTAGCTGTTGTTTTAAAGTATATTATTACCATTAACCATTAAACTACGCTATTACTTTTTTAACATTTTATATTCTGAACTTGAATATTTTCATTTCCGTGCTTTTATTTTTATGCTTTTTTGTTAATTATATAAATAAAAAATTAAATTTCAAGCATATTAAATGTATGATGTTTATAATAATAATAAAACTTAATAATGCAATTATTTTAAGAAAAATAATTATCTTCTGTTTGTAAATCAAGCATGAATCTAAAACTAGAGCCTGGAAAGAAAATTATTTTTGTGCTAGTTATTTTTAATATAAATGAATAAAATAAAAGTAAAAAGCAGTTAAAAACTTAATAGTAGTCTGATAGCAGCAACAAGTGGTGGTAATAATGCAAAATAAAATAAGAAAACGTTAAAACATTTAAAATTCATTTCATATTCAGTTCAAAATAAATCGCAAGCAGAAACAAAAACCAGAAGCACAGTGGCAAACTGCAAGAAATAAAGGGCAATATTTTAAAACCAAAAATGAAATATCATTCCTTTCATTATAGTATCTTTACACCGAGCACAGCCCTCTGTAGTTAGGCTAGTTTCAAGTGAGTTTGAACCAGTTACTTTGACACAACCTGAGTGCTAAAATGTCTCAGTGAATTCTACATTAAGCGGGTTTTTTTTTCCTTATACATAATTTACAATCTAAACTAGCAAAATTTTAAAAACAGAAGGAAAATAAAATTCCTTCTGATGCATTGCAGACCTAAATTTTAAACTTTTAAATGTGTACAAGATATGATTTTTCTACTTGAAATTTTGGTAATCCTTCAAATCAATGGCAAAAATTATGCAAACTCTGATATCAGAAATATTCATATTTCCATATAAGATTCTATTTCAATCATTATTCAAAGTTATATAAATAATTACAGATTTTTACTTTGTTCTGTGAAAGTATCCTGCATATTAAAATATTTTGTATTTTCAGGCACAAGCAAGAGAATGTTTATTTGAAAAACTTGTTGCAGACACAGACAAACGGAATCTCTCTCAGTGCTTAGACATTGCTCAAGAAGCTTCCCAGGTATAATGCAAATTTATTACAGAATAAGCTACTGCTGTTGTTTGCTAATGTTTTAGTTATGATTTATGAAAGCTCATATGTCTCTATTCAAGAGTAATTAAGAGAAGGGAATTCCAGAATTTTATGCAGGTTTTACAGTATTTATTTTTGATTTAAAGCTTTCAGTAAATTTCTTTTACAAAACTTTTTTTTCCCTCCTGGTCTTGAAAGTACAATAATTGTTATGATCTTGAAAAAAAAATTTAAGAAAAATTTGAACACAATTATAGTATATGCACTTTTTTTTATCATTCTTTGTTCAATGAAATAATTATATTTGATGAATATTTTCAGGTTGCTGAAGTATATAAACAATTATATAAGCTTCTCAGCTCTACAGGAATAAAAGATTGTGTTCCAAATTCTTGGGGTGGCTTGATGAACGTGAAAACTGAACATTACACAGCTCTATCTCATTACTATGCAGCTCTTGGACTCATTGAACAAAATAAGAGTATGTTCAGAAATTTATTTTAATAATTTGGAAATTTAATATTGATAAAAGTCATGAATATTTAGAATTTCCTTTTAAAAGTACACAATTTTATCAGATTAAAGAATGAAAGCAAAGTCTTATACAATCTTAATATGTGAGACTGAAGGGGAAAAGATTTAAATTTACTTCATGTATTATATACCAAATTCAAGAGTTTTTATTTAATAAAAACATATTTGTATAAGCTCTTGTTTTGTTTATGTTTACATCAGAAAAATTTTCAGAAATGAAATTTTTTATTTTAGTTGCACTCTTTTTATTTCTTTCTTTCTCTCTCTCTGTTTTTGTTTTTTCAAAATTGATTTCATTCATTTCTTAAATTTTTTCAATAAAATTATTCAGTTTTTATACAAAGCATTCATATGCATATATTCTACAACTGATAAACTTGTACAATAGTAATTTTTAAAACTTTAAACTATTAATTTTGTTTGTTTGATACAATTAACTGTAACTTCTTTTTATTTAAAATGTCGTTTCTCCCATATGCTTCATTATAATATGTATAAAACTGAGCAATAAACATAAATTGCAAGTAAAGGAATTTACATATTTTTCAAAACATATAAATTTAATTATTTTTATTCACTTTGAGAGTGCTGTTTTAAAGAACAACTCTATATAATCCTTGTGAAACTTGTGGGAGGGGTTTATTTTCCAACATACATGTAAGTATAGCAAAAGAAACTGTAGCTGTAATTAAAGGCCCTTTTATTCTGTCTAATTCTTCCCATTTTTGTTGTGCTAGGATTTTCTTACAATAAATATTCTAAATTATATATAGTCGATTTTTAAAGTGTTAAAAAGTGATGCTTAGTTCTTCTATAACCTGATTTAATCTTTTGAATATTTAGCTTAAAATTCATTTTCTGATGATCCTTCCCATTGCAACTGAATAAGTATTATATATTTCAGTTATATTTAAAATATATGTTCAAATGTCATTTAAATTACAGGTGAACCAACCACAGCAGTTCAAGAAAAATTAGAACATCTCCATATTGATGTAAAGTCTAGAGAAATAAAGGAAGAGATATTTGTGCCACAAAATGCAAATGAGAGACTTCGCTTGGGTAAGTCTGTAACACTTAAATTTTTAAAAAAGGTTATATTGAATAGAAGTTATGAGGGAGGGAAAGAGTAATCTAAATACAACTGCAAGTTTATAACATATTTATATTTTATTGATTAATGCAAATGATAAATTTTCATTTGTATATCATATTATAAGAAATCTTTGCTAACATAATAAATGAAAAAAGAGCCTTATGTATTTATTGTAAATAAGACTAAAATGAATAATTTCATTTATCTTGTAGAGGTAAGCTTCAATTATCTGCAATAAGAGTATGACAATCACATATATTTTATGTATAAATGCTATTTTCCTAGTAAAAGGTACTATGAAAGAGGAAAATGTTTGCTATTTATTTTTTTATAATTAATTAGAAAATGAAAGAAAACTGAAAAGCATCATCTGACACATTCCATTTAACATTACATTTAAAACTGCTAAATTCAATATATTATGTATTTCATTTTTTTAAAATTATAATATTCAAATAAGTATGGTTTGAATTGCAGTCAATGTAAAATAATATGAAATCAATATAAGAGAGCATACTAAAACTAAAGAAGTGAACTAAAAACTATAGAAAGTTTACCACATTGCAGGACAATGTTAACAGATTAATATGATTTCCATTATTTTGGAGTTTGGATACATTTGTTATAAAAGTCACCCTTTTTCGCATGTTGTCAATGAAAATCTTTATTCCCTTATTCTTCATGTACTGCTTGACTTTTCATATTGACATTTTAGCAATGAAAGTTTTTTATTCATTTAATAGTCACTAATATTTGTAATTACAAAAAAAGTGTTATACAGTAGTTTTAGTGGATCAATTAAGACTCTAACAATGAATTTGGAAAACTTATTTTATCTATCAAATTTCATACATAGGAAGAGCACACTTGCAGCAAAGTATTGCCACACATGAAGAAGCATTACGGACGTATCGAATGTGCCGACAGCTTCAGCTCATAGATAGCTTACATGATCTCCTCCAGAAAGCCAATGAGAATTCATTAAACCTTCTGTCTAAGCTCATTGAAGAAGTAGATCAATTTCAAGAAGTTCTGGAGCCTTTGCCCATTCGAGGTATTCAGTTTCAGCTTATTATTTCCATACATTAAATCAATTTCGATTGTCTTTTATGTGTTACTAATAAAGAAATGTTTTCTAATACTGTATATAATTTTGGTTTTACAGCTTCAACAAAATTTCAGCTGAAATTAACAGATCCAGATTTCAGCCAATACAAAGCATCTGATCTGTTTAAAGCTTTGGTAAGTGAATATGTTAGAACCTCTTTTTGTTCGTTAATTGTTCTTAATTATTTATTGTCATTAGTAATGTATTGACATAAATAAAGTAATATTTTTTATTTAATTGAAAGCATAATATTTATGAATTTTCATGAGCAAGATTGTGAGAATATTGTGTTTGAATGCTCAATCAGGTTCATGAATGGTTCATCACTGTTTACAGCTAGTGTGCAAGCTATAAGGACTTTAAAAATTTGGGGTGCTTTAACTTTTCATATAATACACTATTCATAATTACTAAGAATTATTTTCATAATATTTTTCAACTGGTTGGAAGTAAGTTTTTCTACAGTATATTATGAAAAGCAAAAATAATACTTGAACACTATCCTAGGAGTCAAAAGATTCTAGAAGATATCAATTAAGTTTAATTTAGACCCAGCAAGAAAGTGGCTCATGAATGCTAAGGTGCAAAACATATACTTCATTGCTACTCTTATACAAATCAAACTGAAAAGACAGAAATAAGGATTGCACTATCAGATCTATCTATCTATCTATCTGAAGATTCTTTGGAGTATATGGAAGATGATATACTGTTCAGGAGATACGGGAATTTGCAAATTGTTTATTTCATCTGAATGTGATTTCTTACTAGACAGAATTCTGTTCTCAACTCCTACTTCAAAAGGATAAACATCTTTGGTATGGTCTAAGAAACTCATCATTCATCATCTTTAAGCAAGAAACATGAGTAGTTTTGTCTTGTTCAGGATAAAATTCAAGTATTTTGACCCTAGCTCATGCCATTCCTTTATTGTTGTCACCTTTCAGCGAGAACAACTTACCAACCTACTCAAAATCTTTTCATGAGATCTGGGTCAAGTTTTTGATGATAACAAAAAACTTTTTTGAGTTGAATTGAAAGCATCTAATTAAATTACAGGTCCAGTACATATTTCTTGCAGAAAAAATAATAAAGATGTGGTTAAAGATTGTAAGTCTTCAATATCTTCTGAAAGATAAGGAATGGCTATTAATTATCTATTCTGCTCTGCACAAGATGGGGAGCTCATCATAATGTAGTCGGCTCATCCCAGGCTTCTTTTTAAGATTCTTTTGGTCATTCCAATTAACCACTGCTACCATCCGCCCCACCAGGCAGTGGTAGGGAAGAGCAAAATCCACTGTATTTGGTTGAAGTCATTTCCTGTACCTTCTGCACAATCATCACATGTAAAGCACATGTAATCATAGCACATGTAAAGAGGATGACCTAAGCCTTATCTCTGTTTCTTAAGCATAATGGTCCTGCTGAATCAGTCTCTGTTATTTCAAATACAGCTGCATTTATTATACAGTTTTGTGGTAAAAATGCATTTATAACTTCAGTGTTTGAGGCTTAAAATCTTCTGTAGATTTTACATCTTTACAAGCTGTATTTGTGCATCATAAAACCCTTGAGTTTTTCCTTAGTTGATCCATTATACAATATCGCTGGATGTTCGAAACTATCTGTATATTCTCATTGTATGAGGTATGTAGTAACATGAATTAAACCATCTTAATCAAGGTGAAAGTGTACAGATTTCAAAACATTATTTATTGAGACAAAGACTTCTTGTTGTATACTTTTAAGTAATATCCCTTCAGTTTATTCTGTTTCCTTTACAGTAAGTTTTTGATAGGACCATTTCAACTGATGCCTCTTGGCATTTACTGTGAAATGTTTATCCATGCATAGGTTCTATCTATCTTTAAATAGAAAAAAAAATCTATTGTGGTACTAGAATATCTCTTTCATTTGATGTTAATCATGGCTGTGTTCCTTCTCTCTTGATTTTAAAGTTACTTCATTGGCCTGTGATTTGCGATTTTGGCCATTCTTTGATTCTATTTTATTCTTCTATTTTAACCTTTTTAGACTTGTAACCATCTTATTTCATTAAGAAATCAACTAGAACTTCCTCTAGATAGAATATCCACTGAATTAAGATTTCCAGGAACATGATGTTAGTCCTCATATTTATTGGTGAAAAAACCTGATCCGTGTTCTCCTATTTTGATCCAACTTAAGGCACTGCTAGAATCATTCTAGTAGTGGGTTTCAAAATCTGGTTGCTTCAGATCTTACTTAACATTAGCTAAAAAAACAAGCAGCAATTAAACATGTTAGGAGCTCCAGCCTGATAGGATCTGTTTTTATCTCTAATGAATTTGCAAAACACAGATTCTTCATATTCTATTCAGATTAAAATACAACCTGTATAAGCTTGCATGTATACTCTTGCTTGCATCAGAAAACATATGTAAACTATACTGTTTCATGTTCTCTTTATCATCCATCTGGTAATATAAATGCTTTTCAGGTGTGTATTTTGAGTTTGATAATTTAAAAATTTCTTCATGATAGTTTTGGATAATTCTTCATCCCATGTTACTTTCTGTTTCCAACATTCTTATAGTAACAGTTTTGGGCAAAAATGCAAATGGGCATACAATTCCTAAAAGATCATACATTTGTTGCACTACAGTTAACAATTCCTTTTTTGTCACTGGAGAATCTACAATTTGATCATAAGTGGAATTTCAAAATAGGGTACTCCATAACAGCTCTCACTTTAGTCCTAAAACAAAATTTTCTTCATTTACATTCTCGAATCCATCATATTCTCATTTGGAAACTCGGAAGTCTCTAACATGGAGTAATGGTTTCGCCGGCCTCTTAAATCAAATTTTCTCAGTAGTAATAATTCTCTAGGTTCTTCAATGAATAGTTCCAACTCTTTAACACTGTAAAAACTAGCAAGACATTTATTAATACATATATTGAGTCCATTAAAATAAAAGTAGAGGGGGAACATTGTCTAGATGGTGTTTTAACATGGCACTCTTAAGGACTCTTAAGACTCTTAAGGACATAAGGACTGAATGAAAGTCCCCCCCCCAAAAAAAAAAAACACCTCACCAGAATGTCTATAGACCTGTAGCCTATTTAGATCACCATCTTCTTGCATCCAAAAATCATAGCTTTTTAAGTTTTTGATTTTATCATATTAAATTAAATAAACCCCTTTAAAGCCTATATTAAAATATGTCAGACCTAATGCATGATTCAAGCTACAAGTTTAGAGTGTATTTACTTAATTTTCCTACATTAAAATTAGTTTAACAGATTCTGAAATGTTTGCTTTTTTATTATCATTTGTAATACTTTTAGTTTTAATATCATCATATGTTTAAAATATTCCAGAATTAATCCCAGTTTTAGAATTTAGAATTGATATTAAATAAGATATGATAACTCAAATAAATTCATTTAGAAACAATCTATGTATTCTTTCACTGCAGTAGACATGTTGACAATTATTTGGCACTGTTTTGTTATTCAGCAGAATATATTTACACTTAAAATACGGTTAAATAGATTCTCTTCTTTGGCCTTAAATTTAGGGGCCTTTAAAGTTTTTCTCTGCCAAGCGCCACTGGACTGCAGCTAGGATTGTAGAACTGAAGAAGGCAAGTGATGATGCCACTTTTGGCTTTAGTGTCAAGGAAGATTCTCCTGTTGTTGTCACAAGGGTTGAAATTGGTGGGATAGCAGAGGTGAGTATATAGATCTTATTATCTAAATGCGTTCTTTAAAAAGTGTTTAGAATCCCATCTGATTTTTATTCTGAATTAGGCCTAAGACTTTCTAAAATCCAGTTTAAATTTTAAAACTAAAGCTTTTTAACAATATTTTATAAATTCCAAAGGATTGCCAAAAACTATTAAAATGATAAGTTATTTCAAACTAATTGTCTTTTAGGGCTGTGGTCTAAAAGAAGGCGATTACATCACAGCTGTAAATGACCAGGATACCAAATGGGCATCTCATGATGAAATGGCTGAACTGATCAAGGCTGCTGGAAATTGCATTACTTTGAAAGTTGTGACACCAATGAACTGGAAATATTTACACTCTAGGGGAGCAGCAGGAATGTCAATGTGCTCAAAATCCACATCTTCCAGTAGTTCTGGGTTTAGTTCTTCTTCTAGCCGCAATCCCAGTCCGGTAATTTCAATTATGCCTTCCTTTTCTTTAATAATTTTAAAAAATAACAATCATTTTTATGTTGTAATTTTTTTAAATGGGATGTTTAATAATTTTGTCATTAAATTTTAATTATTATTTAATTTTAATGTTTAAAAATTTCATTATTAAACATTAATTTGTCCTCTTCATTAGTTATAAATGTAATAACTGTATGTAACAGTGGTAGCCCTAGCCTTGAACCAATTTTCAGAATTCAGGAGCATTCAAAAGCTGCAGTTAAATTTTCTAAGACCTGAAAATTTATATTTATGTTGTTTTAAAAACAGTGAAACAGACTTTGAATGGAAAGAAATATGCATATTTGAAGTAAGAAGAATTTCACATTTTATGTAATTAAAATAGTTATACATTAATAAACAATTTTTATTTCTTCTTGGGGATAAACAGTTTGAAACTATTCTACTTTGAAACTAAGCATTCAATTCTCAGGGAAAAAGAATTTTTTTCTGGTTTTCCTTTACCTGGTCTATTGTACTCGCTGAGATCTACACTCTATCATTCTCAGCATCTCTGGATGTACACTATACAGGAACAGGGTTCCTCCTTCCATCTTTTGGGTAGGTTGTATAATGAACAAGCCTTTCCAGATGTTGTTTTGTACAGCTCCATACTCGCATGATAAGTAGAGTCTAGGCCAAGGTTTCTCAAATTATAGTATCTGTACCACTAATATTATATTACATCATTTTTAGTGGTACAATTTTCACACAAAAAAATTGAAATGAATACTTAGAATGAATGTAAAATGGCACCACTTTTGGTACATTTATTAGTAGATAAAATTATAAATAGTTTTTTTTTTTTTTTTTTTTTTTTTTTTCCCCCCCCCTCATGTGGTACACAATTTTAAGAGTTGAAAATCCCTGGTCTCCAAAAGGGGCTGAAGAGACCAGAGTAAAAGCCTCCCTTGTAACACCCCATTGGAGCATGCCATATCCCCTTCCTAAATCTCAGACCTAAAGTATCTGTGACTACTTGTTGAAAGAAATATTTCTGGAAATCTTCACTGTTGGGATATCTGAGTGGCTGACTTACGCAAAAACTACATAAGCCAGAGATGCAAATGAGGCATTCTCGACAAACTGGCAATATGTACTGGATTCATAGCTGAGACATTGCTTGTAGGTGGACTGTTTTGGCTAGAAGCCCTCCTGTTTAAACCAATGCTGAAAGAAACCAGAAACATTTCTTCTAGCATACCACATCATACCACATTGTTAAATGTCATAACCCCATTATACGTAGATGCTGTATAGTGTGTCTTGTTAGACAGAGCAGGATAGCAATAAAAAGTTTACTTAATTTTCATTCATATATATATAGCTGTTGATTGGTTTTATCGTAAGTAAAATGAAACTGAAAAGATATAATTGTCCTTACAAATGCAATTATTAAAAAAAAAAGCTTTCCATCTGAGTGAAGAATAAAACATTGATTTGAAAAATAGGTCTATTAATCTATTAATATTTTTTGTATTTAATTCATATGCTATCCATTGGAAAGAATAAAGTAAATGACATGGAGTGGCAAACCTTGCAAAGAAACGAGAACTATTTAACACATTAAGTGCCAAGCCTGTCTTGTCTTCTTTTCTTTTTAGCTCATGATATATGATTTCATTAATTTGCTGGAGATTGGAGATCTGTGTAGAATCTGATAGAACATATTTTTTAAATTGTACATAACAGTCAACAATAACATATGCAGCCTGAATGAAAAGTATACTGTCAGTCACCAGTTACTGATGCATTTTCGGAAAGTATACTGTCAGTCACCAGTGACTGATGCTCTCTGACTATAAAATATATTGTTAGTCACTGGTGATTGACATGGCACTTAAAGTGTTAAAAATAAGCTATCAATGTTTCAAGATTTTTGCACAAAAATATCATCTTAGTCTTTCCCACCTGATTAATACAAAGGCTGAGATCAAACCTAACCTTAAGTAATGCAATTAATTCATTAGGAGACAGGTGGATTATATTATATTTTGTTTTTCTCTAAGGATACAACATAGGAATTTGAAATCCCATAGGTCTTCAAAATGATTTTATATTCTAAAACTCAAATCTTAGTTCTTTTTCCATCATTTAGATATTTTGAATCCTAATCTAAGAAATTATTAAGTATTTTAACTCAAATTTTATCAAAGATTAGTTTTATTTGTGCTCAACCAAAGCATTTATTTAGTAAAAAAAAGAATGATTATCTAAACATCCACATATGTTTATCAGAATTTCAAGTCATCTCAATAGTTCTGAGTGTAGATAATCTGCTACTAACAGGTCCTGAATGTTTCCAGAAACTCATGCAATGATGTAAAATGCTGCATAATGCATATGATCTTAGTTATTGATTAGTTGAAATATTCAGCCTTGACTACTAAGTTCTATACTGTTAATTAATGCTCCTGACAACTTATGTTGAAAAAATGAACACAACAATTAAAGAGCTAAACAATGTGCTTCATTTGCTAAATCTAATTTTACTTTCATTTTAAACAGTTATGTTTAATAAATATTGATGTGTTTGCAAAATCTGTATTCATAAATTTGTTTTTCATTAAAAGCAGATTTTAAGTTTTGCTGTTTAAAAACTTCAAATATAATCTAAAAGCTTTTATTTCTTCTTTTTATTATTCATAAGAGAAGAATCCAAGAGATTTGAGATTAAAAATAGTAGAATATCTTTCAGGATTTGGATTTTAAGGATTGGATAATACATGTTAAAAACTATGAACTTTCTTAATGATTGATATGAAATGCATCAGTGGAATGTAGTGCTATTGTATGAAAGACATTTAAAAATAGCAGTAGTACTGTGAAGCAATGAAAATGAAATCTGTACCCTCAGTATCAATCTCATCATGAAACCTTTGACTGCTAAAACGAAATTTTATGAGCTAATTGCAACTGCTTGGGAAGTATAATTAATAATGTAAAAGAAAATTCATGCTTGTATTCCTATTAAAATTTCTATCTAAAAAAGATTATCAGAAAAATATTTGAATCTAGCTTCTACTAACAATGGATGTTTTCTGGTGAAAGATTTAAGAGCACATCTTGTATATATTAACTTTACAGTCAAATGCCAAAGTTCCTAATACTATTCTGGAATTCTTTCCACTTCAAAGCTATGGAGAAACTATCTTCTTGTGCGAATATCAACTAATGATCTCAAAAAATTTAAATGATGTTTACACAGGAAGGAAAATGTTTAAGATAACTAAATAGCTAATTGTTCATGATATTCATTGAAGGATGAAGAATTCTGCTGTTTGTATATTATGTAATGTTTGTCTATATTTCTATTTATGCAATATTTGTAAGTTATTTTATACCTTTTGATAAAAACCTGTTTTATGTTGGAGTGGTAGTAAATGAGATTTGAATATTCATAAGTGAAAACAATGGTTCTGTAAATTTTGGCAAATTAATTTCTTTTTCTGGTAATGATGCATTGGAAGCTGCCGTTGAAAGAAGTCCATATGTGACTGTTAAAGAGCTGGAGAAAATCATCAGCATGAACCGCCCATCCCCATTTGACTGAAGGTGTCTAACTTTGGCAGGTGGGTTCCACATGAAAATACTGATGCTGATTCCAGAGAATGTTTGAACATCTGCTCTGTTCATTCATATGATTTTTTTTTTTTTTTACTTTCCAGTAAGTGGTGATAAGGTGATAAAAAGCGATTACTCTTTCAAAACTTGCAAAATTTCATTGATGGAGAGGACTATCTTGTACATGAAGCTTTCGAAACTGTCCTCCAATTCATTATCGTTTACTTCTTTAGAAATGCCATAATGGCTCCTATTACAGCACTGAAAGAATGTTATTGATTCAGATGGAAAATATATAGTTGATAAATTAATATTTTTTCTGTTTGCTGGTTTCTTTAAAACCTACTTCTAAAATCAACATTAGTTACTTCTAAAAACAACATTAGTTCTGTAACTACTTCTAAAAACAACATTAGTTCTAAAAACAACATTAGTGAGGACACTTATAGCTTTCATGAGAAGATTTGCTATTTACAAAAATGATATTTTCCTCTGCTGTTCCTATATTTTTTATTAACTTTTCCTTAAAACTTTTAATCATTTGCATGCTGTGTCAGGCCCATAATGTTCTCAAGTGAAACTTATTTGCCGAGTTTCAAAACTTAAGCCCATTTTTTAAGAACACATATATATATGAGGTAATGTGATAATTTTGTAGATGACTTGAGGATTTAAAGATAGTGTAAATGCATTAGGTGACACAAGGAAGAAGAAAAAACTTAGACATTGGTGTAAATAACAAATTTCTTGATGACTAATTCTGACTATACTCACTGTGACTATACACATTATTATGTGTGCAACAAGCACCCCATAATTCTACATAACTGAACACATCTCGAGACAATACATGAAGCAGAGCAAAAGGAGATAGCAAAGTACATGTTCATTTAAACAAAGGATTATTTATAGATTTAGCTTCTTTGTTTAAATTTTTAATGGTGATTGAACAATTCCAGGAAGGGGCTGTAGCAAAATTGAAATGAGGAATTAAAGGACTACTGCTAAATTTAAGTTATCAGTTTTCTTTATTGTGTTATATCTTGTAATAAATAAATTTTTAAAAAAAACCTAAAAATGTTCATAAGCAAAACATTATATTTTATTAGTACAAAAAATATTAAGTAGCACAGAGATATAGATAAATGCAAAAGTGCTGGAGGGTTTTTAAATATTATCTATAGGTACCTTTGTTTTTATATCTTTTTTAAGGTAGGAAGTATGTGTGGAAAGGAGAGCGAAAAAAGGTCGAGCTGGAATCCGTTTCGGAGAAGAAATTCTAAAGACCCTTTGGAATCGAGTTATATAACCAACATCCTGTACAGATGAAATTTAAAAACATTCCTTCAACCATTTCATCTCATGTTAATTTTGTTACTCATAAACTCTCAGACAAGGCTTCTTTTTTTGATTATTTGCAATTTCATGCATATGAGGTATAATATGGAATGACAAAAATAATTTTTTTCACAGCTGTAAATCGCTGAATTTTGTATTAGTACTGAAATTTTCATGGATTATTTATGTCAAAATGTCTTTGGAGTAAAAGCAGTAATTTCATCTAAATTTTCTTGCTTTTCTTTTCTTTTGTAAAATTATTTATAGTGAATTAGTTAAACTATTTCTATGTATGGAATCCAATGCCTTTTAAATCTTTTGTTTAAAAGCTCAGTTTTTTTAATCATTATTTAAAAAACTCTTATGAAATTCAGTTTGTGAAATCTCCATATGTTACAAAAATATAAAACATTTCTTCTTATTTATTAGAATGTTCAGCTATGCACGGAAAAATTTTTATTAAGTATTTTGTATTATTAAATACATTTTGTTTGACTGGTTATTGACTCATGCCTTCTGCTTAACAAATAAGAAAGCAAGATTAGCATTTAGAAAATTCAGGTATATGAAACTTGATTTATTTAACAGATCTCGTACAAAAATTATGAATGAGAAAATTTTCTTTTCATAGACAAATTAGTACAATAATATCTCTTCATACTGCCAAAATTACCAGAGATATTTGGTTAAAATAACTTGCCCATTAATGACTATTGAAGGAGTAAAAACAAAAATAATCATTACTCAATAATCATTATTGAATATTGCACTGATTATTGTTGCTTTAATTCCTGTAGTTACCAGAGATATCATTTATCAAAATAGTTGGAAACTGCATTCAAAATTGATAAAGGCATGACACAAATTTTTATGTGAATGTCTTTCATATCAGGAAAACAATAATGTAAAAACATGACTTTAAAATTTTCTGAATTGAAAATTTTGTATGAGGCAAATTTAAACTTTTATACAGCTCTCTCTAGAGAAAACAGGAAAACTTTCATTTTAAAACTGGAGCTGTAGATCTAAAACCAACTGCCCTGTAATCTTTTCTAAACACCCTGTATATTAAATTGCATATGACAAAACACGTTTGTCCTTTTATATTGAAGAATTTCTATTTCAGAGAGGGAGTGTACATTTAAAAAAATGTTTAATACAATAAAATAAATGGCAACTTCTCTATATATTAATATTTATCTCTAGGTATTAAACTTTAATTTCATAATTTAACCATATAAAAAATGTACAATTCTTTCATTATGCATTTACAAGAATAAAATTTACTAACTGCAGTTTTCATTGTTTTCCTGTATTTTCTTGTACTGTTCAGTCCTCATTTCTTTGTATCATTTAAAAATAATAAAGTTTATCCTTGGCATGTTAATTCTATATGTGAGCCTTCATTTTCGAAATTTAAAAAAAAATAATATTTTATATTAATTTAAATTCATGTGAAATGTCGGAAAGTATCACAATATTAAGTTATCTAACAAACTCATGTAAGTTTCTTTCTATTAATTCTTCATTGCACAATTTGTTTCCTCACTAGACCTGATTATTCAAGTCTAACTGAGTGACTTCACACTGCACTAACAAAGGTTGTCAAAAACTTCAGCTTCCTGAAGTGTTGAGGCCGAGTCCTCGGAGAACAACCTTAGCTGTATGCTCATTTTTCAATAATTTTTTAACTCTGTTGCTACATTCCTCCCTACTGATTCATTCCTTTATTAAATAGTGAAATATGAAGTATGTTTTAAATATTTAGTCATTGTATTAAAGTCATTATTCAAAACATTTCATATATAAAAGTCTTGAATGCCTTACTTGTACTTCTTTTCATAAATTGTTCAGAATTTTAATAAAATGCTCCCATTTGCAGGTTATATACATGTCCTACGTATTGCATGTTTTAAATTCTGAGAATACATGTGGAGAAATTCAGAAATTATCTAATTCTAAATTAATTTAATGAAGTTAATGGTAAAACCATTGCATTTATATTTAAAGAATAAACTACTTTTTGCATTTTTGTTGGGTTGGGGAGGATATTTAATATCATGTCAAACATTTAATTTTGTATAGGGTGAGTCAAAATTTATTGCAATTTAATTTTTATTAAATTGTATTTAAAGTAAAAGATATGTTTCAAAATAAGCTTAGTATGTTTATAATGCAGTTAAAATCTGTCAAATGTGTTAAAATGTTAGGCATTGGTTCCATAACATTAAGTTTAGCTTTTTATAATGTTAAGTTGAAATTATTTTTAAAAATTTTCTTTGTATCTTTTAATTCTCAAGTGGAGATAATTAAATAGCAGAAATGCTGTTATTTCTGCTTACAGTTAATTTGATTAGTTATTTATAACTTTTAGATTTTTTTTTTTAAATTCCTTTTCTTATGCATGTTATTATTACCAATGTCCGAAGTTGAGGACTTAAACATCTAGTCTTTTGTGTTTTATAACCTGTACATATTTTTGTTAAATAAAAAGTGTGTTTGTCTAATTGCTTGTTTATTCAATGTGCCAGATGTTTTTCCTTCTACCTTCATTCAGTTTTTCGCATGCAAAGCTTTATATTTATTCTTTAGCCATTCAGTTTCACTTCTGTGCTTTGAGTTGAGAAATTAAATTTTGTTATCTTGGTAATGCTGAGCATATTATGGCATCCAATTTATTTTTAATAAGTCACTAATTTAACTATTATTTGCTTCATTAGAACTTAGTAAATCAAATGCTAGACAGAAAAAAAAAAAAAAAAAAAAAAAAAAGTCAAGATTTTCATTATTTTAAATTTAAAGAGATTAACACATTGATATGAAAGTGATATGTTTTTTCAGTATGGCTGAGCCAGTAATTGTTTTCTTAGTCTTTTGAATTCAGGAAAACTGTTACGTTTTTAACCCCAAACAGAATATTGGTTCGTGTTTCTGTATCTTAAGTAATTTCAGCAATCTAAGAGTTTGGGAAGGCTTCTCACTTTCTTATTTGCTAGTTCTTCTGGAGTTGCACATGCACCCATACTGGCATGTTGCTTCTTCTTGCTTAAAATCCACATCAGTCTGCAGTTACAATCCCATGGGTTATCTGGAAGTTAAAAAAATGATGTAGATAATTTCATAATTATAGATGCACTACATTATATTTTTTATAAGATTCAGCAAAATCTCTGGAAAAAATATAATTGCTGATAGTTTTCTTAAGGAAGGGAGAAAAAGTTTCTATATGAAAACATCTGCGCTTCTCTGTATGAAAGCATTCAGTGCAGAATCATCCAAAGATGCTCCAAATAATAATATCAACTGTATGTGGTGAAGACTGGCTTAAATTCAGCAACCTTTGTTACATTTCTGGTACTATTTTAGAGACATTAGGATGTTTTGGAAGCAGGAGATGTGAAAAATGAGCAACGCCTTCGCCGGGAATCGAACCACGGACCTCTGGAATATGCACCCAGCATGCATACCACCACATTACGAAGGCATGCTGAGAAGGTGGGAGAAATACCTTATACTGTCACATAAATAGTCTTAAATTGTAATTTTCTGATTAATTTATGTAGGAGTGAAGAAATAAAATTATGGCATTTTCGTGAAAAGTCATTTCAGGTACGTAAAAGTTACCGCAATTGTATTTACTTTCATACCTGTTAAATTAAGTAGAAAAGTAAATCAAAACCATACATGCATAATAGTGCGCGGGTGCAAACTTATCGTGCCATTATACAGTTTGCCGGATTCAGATGAAATATTGATACTTACTAAGATGCAGGAGCACTATGGTGGTTCTTGCTTTAAGCTATCTTCATATTTATATGCTGGCACCATTCTGGGGGATTTTTTTAAAACACAGGATTCAAACTGAAGTGATATGTAAGACTGCTCTTTTAGTTGCAGTGTTAAAATTTTATTCAAAAGGCTTTTATTTTTGAATAAAAATTCAATACCATGTTGATTTCAAACACGATTTCTTTTGCAGACAATCAGTTTTCTTGATTTTTTTATTCTTGAGAATCTTTCTCAGTTTGGCAAAGCTTTCCAAGAAATTCGAAGGAGAAAAAAATCCAGAGAAATTAAAAAATTGCATAATTGTAGAACTTTATTTGCAACATATGAACGTATTGGTGGTCTTTTCTAATTTTTGAGTTGAAATTGATTTTATTGTATTGACACATATGAGGTTTGCTGGATTGAAGTCGGACAGAATTTCATTAAGACGCTAGTGCAAGGATGTTTGTCTTATTGCATGTTGTGAATGACATTAGCACTAAAACTAACATTTGATTACATTGCTTCTTAGCCTGTAAAAAGACAATTTCTATTCACTCGACACATTTTCTCATCGATCAACGATTTTTATGAAATATGTTTAACAATGTGTTTGATGAAATAAAGCTTGTGGGTCCTTTTATTAGAAAACTGAATATTGTAGAATGTGTTATTTATTTGGCTGTGTATTTTATATGTTACCGGCAATGTATGAAATGCCCCGACATTCTATAGAATACCTGAGCATTTTATAGAATACAGTGCCCCAGCATTCTATAGAATACTGAGCATTTTATAGAATACTTAACGTTTTTAGGCAAACTATAAAATATGAGAATTATTATATACTTTCCCTAACCATTGTATGTAATATCTAGGCATTATAGAACGACAAATGTTACTTGGACAAAATATGAAAAAACGTAATAATAAGGCTATTAGTTAAAATTCCTGCATTTCTCAAAAAGTACAAACGTTATTTTGAAAGAATAGTGAAAGAGTGCCATTAAAAATACTTTAATTCAAATGCGTAAAGAAAAATGAAAATTGTACAAAAAATTATCCCTTTCCTATTAAAACAAAATTTGCGTATAAAAAAATAAAATGAATTTATTTGTTGCAAAGTGGTAGGCTTGAATAACGTTTTGAATTACACTTCATACTTTTCAAAGACATATCATATTTTGGCAAATTCTTTTATATACACTTGATGAATTCTTGGCCGCTTCCAGTGGACTGAGCAATTTCATCTGACCGAAGAGGAATTTCATGATCAGAAATTTCTTCAATTCTAAGCAAGCTCTTAGGACATAAAGTGAATTGTGATCTCGCATACAACTGTTTTAAAATTCCTTTAGAAGTTTTAAGTTGGTAGAAATCACATACTCATTAATTGCGTGAATCACTTCGTCCCTTGTCGATCTCAGGAAGAGGAACTCGCACAGTAGTTCCCAAAGAAGCCGCGAGAATTTTTTTTTTTTTTAGAATTAATATCATTTATTTGGCTGTTTCATACTTTGCCGGTTTGTCATTTGGCATTCCACGGAATGCTTAAAATATGTGAAATGTATAACATTACAAACAACATATTTTTTTATACAGGCAATGCATTTCATACATTGCCTGCTAGTTTCCGAGATCTATAAAATGCGTAGGTATTCTATAGAATGCCGGGTTTCATGCATCATTGATGCTAACATATATAAATATTATAACATGAAAAAATTTAGAAAAATTCAACTACACTCATGTCCATAAATTAAGGATAAGGCAAAGGAAGAGTTAGAAGCAAAAAAAATTTGACTTATTTGTAAAGTTTATTTATTAAACAAAAGATAAAGAGCAAAAAGATGCTATGTGTTTGATATTATAAAAAAAAATTAGAGATTTTTTCTCCCTGGAGCAAATTACAAAAAACACCTATTTACAAAAAACCAATATTACATGGTTGGTATGATTGTTAATACATTGTATGTCTCCCAGACGATGCGATATAGTCTATATAACGCCTAGGCATGCTGAGTATCAAATTATCGATCTGATCTTGGGGGATATTACACCACTCAAAAAGCAATGCTCTCCGAAGTTCCGCTAGACATGTAGGAGGAAGTTGACGGGCTGCAACTCGTCGGCCAAGCATGTCCCACATGTGCTCTACTGGATGGAAGTCCGGTGAGAATGCTGGCCAGTCCATACGGGTGATATCCTCCAATTGAAGGCATTCGCTTACGATGCTTTCACGGTGAGGACGGGCGTTGTCATCCATAAACAAAAATTGTGCGCCCATGGTGCCCCTAAACAAACGTACATGTTGTTCCAGAATGACGTCCCGATAGATTTGGCTTGTCATGGTTCCAATTTGAACATGCAGGTCAGTTCTGGAATCCAGAATAATTCCACCCCAAACGAGCACTCCTGCGCCATCGTAACGGTTTCGTTTAATGATGTTTTCTTGGTGGTAACGGGTACCTGGAGCTCTCCATATGAAAGTTCGGCGAGAATCAGACTGCAAGTTAAACCTGGACTCCTCAGAAAACATCACACAAGTCCACTGTTGCGGTGTCCACAATGCATGCTTTCTACTCCAGGCTAACCGCAGGCGACAGTGAGTTGCAGTAAGCGGAGCGCATCTGACAGGTCTACGAGTATATAGACCAATCTGCCCTAAGTGTCTGTACACGGTCTGCCTTGAAATTGTCGTACCAGTGGCTGAAGAGAGCTGACGAGACAGGTCTGAGGCTGTGTTCCGCCTGTTTCTTTTGGCAGAAACTGCCAAATACCGGTCCTCATTCGGCGTTGTAACTCTGGAGCGACCTGTGCTGTAGCGTCTACTCACATTAACATCATCTTGGAATCGTTGCAAAAGCCTGGAGAGCCCAGAGTGTTGCCGACACACTCTGGGCAATTCCAAGTTCGTCTGATACTTCCAGTTGGGTATTCCCACATTCCAGACGGCCGATAATTCTACCACGTAAAAAATCATCCAAATGCGTCCTTTGTGTCATGACTATTCGGTTATTGCACTGAAATGCTTATAAAGCGCCTGCGAAGAATTTTACTTCTTTGCCTGTATTCCTTATGTACCACTCTCTTACACTCTCGTCATTGTGACGTACCATCGGTGTCATCTGGTTACTTCCTGAAATTTGCATATGTTTCTTGAAGACTGTGTAGTGATTTTACAGGTGATATATTTATTTTAGAGTTCGATTTTCGCGTGACTCCGAATTATCCTTAATTTATGGACATGAGTGTAATTTGAGACACTAGAAAAATTCAACTAATTCTAAGGTCTGCTATGTTGTATGCAATCCAGATTTAGATTGCATACAACATAGAATGGAAACACAAATGATTCACTAATTTTCAGTTGATATATTCGATATTCTTTTCAGAACAACTCTTCAAACCAAAACTGTTTTATTAATTTTGTTGAGTATACGCAGGTTGGGCAATGAAACACTTGTATTTAGAGTATTATTATTTTTTTAATACGATGTAAACCCTCTTTTGGAATTTATACTGCATCTATTCCTCTTGAAAACGACAGATACACATTTTTGTTCAGTCAATTAAAGGTATTTTATAACCATTCTTCTTGCAGAACAATAATTGTTTCGCTTCATGATGGTAGAAGAGAAAAGCGTTTCCAGCTCTGTTCTGAAGAAACCCAGAAAGACTCAATGATATTGAGATCAAAGCATTGAATAGGATGTGGAAGATGTTCAAACTTGCTTTCGTGCTCTTCAAACCATTCTGTTATCAATTTTCGGTGCGAACTGGTGTATTATGATCTCACCCTGACACACGGTACATATTTTGGGATATAAAGTAAATTTGGTGAACTTAATCTACAGATAATCTTTGAGATGATGCAATCATTAAAAAAAGTCAATGTTTCCAATTAATTTTCCACGACACTGCGACGCAAATCGTCAACCAAACATCTCACGCTCCACTCTGGGCACGACACAGTCCAGATCATGGGCCGTTGACGGAGTTCTTCATAAACTCTCCCATTTGTGAGAAAGAAAATGAGGATTAATTCAACGCTAATCGAAACAGATTTTACATTGCTTTCTGTCCAAGTTTTATGCTCCTGACACCAGTGAAAGTAGCTTTTAAGATGGGCGCTCGTCAGTGGAATCTTAACAGTATTGTGGGCTCACAGGCAAACCAGTGTGTTGAGGCTTCTCGATTCACAGAAATTATATGTAAATGGATTGCTATGCTCGTAGGACCCAAATCTTTGATAACCAACACCCAGCAAAGCCTTTGCTACAATTACACGATGAATATTAATCCCGTGAAGCTCTCTATAGGAAGATTTTCCAAAAATGGAAAAATTTGCTCAGGAGATTGTTGGATTGTTGAGTTCTGACATAATTCAAGTTGTTCTAGTTTTGGTGTAGTGTTTTTGTTTTGGAAGGAGGTACAATTATTTTTATCATAACATCCTTTTCAATTAACATCCCCAGGAACTATTCTTATTGAATGAAGTTATTAGCTTTTCTAAGTGTAAAGGAATGACTCTAGATGCTGTGGCCCTCTATACATTGAAAGGCCTGCTGTCATAGTAAAAGGCACATCAGGTAGATAAGGATCCTTTTTCGATCTCTGACATGTATCTCTCATTTATGTTCTATAATTCTCCTTATTTGAAATCTTTCCCTCTAATACCGCTGAAATTGAAATTTCGCAATCTGCTGCTGCTGCTCTTAATATTCGAAATAATTAAAAGTTCCCAATTAGAAATGCATATGATGATTTAAAAATTAACGTGCTTCATTCGCCAACTGTTTCAGTGTGATTGTTCATCAATTGTGCAGTTACATGTTAATTACATGTATAAATCTTTTGCATAAGTCGAAAGATATAAAGGAAAACTCGAAGTTATATTGTAGCTTCGAGTCCGTAATAATCTTCACAATTGAATTAAAAAATAGCTAAAAATAACTCAAGCTAAGATTATGCTCAACACTGGAACGATCATCGCAGATTTTGTTCTAAGGATAAGTATTACAGAGAACGAAGATTCACGACGTCTGAGTGCAAGGTCGGCTTTCTGCAGTCCTACGATTACATCGTCTCTGGCGGTGGTTCTGCCTGAGTGCAAAAAACTCAAAAGAAATTACAATTCGCTATGAAATAAAGTCTAGGTTTTCTGCAGTCGCTATGAATAAAGTCTATGCTTCTGTAGTCGCTATGAATAAAGTCTAAGTCGAATTTGATTCGCTATAAATAAATTCTAGGCTTTTTGAAGTCCATACGATTACATCGTCACTGGCGGTGTGTCTGTCTTAGTGTAAAAAACTGAAAAGAAATTACAATTCGCTAGGAATCAAGTTTGAAAAATCATAGAGTGCTTAATAGAATTCAGTCTACAAACATAATAATTCTCTAATTCTGCTTGACATAAAATCAAATCTCAGCTAACCATGGAATATGTACTTAAAATCTCGTCAACGGCAGTAATGCAATAGGAAAACGCCCAGCTAGAAAAATTATGTTTTAAGATCTTCAAAATGCCTTTTGCAGCTACTTGCAAAACATGGTTAACTTAGCTTCAAAATTCATATTTATTCCCGGTAAACTTTAATAGCCTTTACTTTCGGACTATTTATACAGTTCAATACATATTTACTCACTAATGAAAATTGTATAAAATAATAAGTCAACTAATAATAAAAATGCAGCTCTTACCGGTAAATTAAATATAAATCGCACCTGGAATATACACAAAATTACAAGAACAAGACACAAAACTAAGCATGCTAAATAATAAATTAGTAGAGATAAATATTCAACAGTACAAAATCTATAAAAATCAGTGCCTGAGAAAATACAAAATAATATACATAAGGAAGCAGAAGTATTCATAAAATAAAAACTATACGTTCTTTATAGTTTAGATGAGCTTACGGTAATTTTAAAATATTCTGATTTATTTGAATTAGGATAAGTTCGTAACTGATTTTTGACATAACATTTTAAATCCCAACATATCTTTTTAGATCTGGGTTGCCTAAAAAGCACTTTTTTTTTTAAATAAATTTTGATCTACAAGATTTGGCTTACTGATATATATACTACACTGAAGTGCCACTGAATTAGGGATAGGTCTGACGAATCCCACACCATCTATTCTGCTGCATCCTCAGCATTAACTTCTGAAAATCTAAGAATTTCCAAAAAAATGTTTTTAATTCCTCAAGTAACACATCATCCCCATCTTCTCCTGTCTCTTCGCTTTCCTTTTCTTGAGTTTCTTTTCCCCTTTTCTCTTTTTCCTTCTCTTCTTCGGTTGATTCTGAAATTCTGAAAGCGATTCGGATAGTCGGAGTACGGATAATTGGAGTTGTACTGTATTTGTTATTTCCATCCCCTATGGATGCTTTAGACGGGGATGATAATCGGTTTGAAGACAATTCAAGTAAAAATTTTGAGTCACGTGCATCTCAAATTTGACATTCTATTTACACACTTCATGACCCAAAGATTCTGAAATAATATGTTTGACTCCAAAAATGATTTTACTTACTGATGAAATCAACCCTTTTCAACTTTGGTGATGAAATATTTTCGAAAAGGTCTTGAGGCAAAGTTGTTAATCTGTTATCCCGAAGATATACCACTGAAAGAACGGGCATGTCGGAAAAAAGGTCTCCTGGTATAGAAGTCAGTAAATTGCCACTGAAAAGATATATAACATAGAATACTGAAATATTTAAAAAAGATAATAAATGGAGAAATGCACATTTTTTTATCATAATTGTATTTTGAACGAATACAATATAAAAACTCAACGTTTTCAAAAAATTTGATTTTTTATCATTTGTGTTTATTAAAAAAATTTCGATTTGAAAGATGGGATTGTGACTATTTGAAAAATCTAAATATAGTTAAAAACTGTAAACTTAGACCTATCGTTTAATTTTTTTTTATTTTCATGTCATGTGTGCTTTATTAGAAAAGCTAGATTTTTCTTTTTATTTTCCTGAATATGTTCTCATTCGATTATTTATATAAACTACTGTGGAGAGGTTTCATTTACTTTATTTTTTACCACGATATTTTTGAAAACGATGATTTTAAACTGCGAAGCTTTTGAACTGCTTTATTTTCGACCACGATGTTTTATACCACGATATTTTAGAACTGCAATGTTTTCTCTTTCTCCCACCATGTTTTGTATCACGTCGTTTACTCCTTGCGTTGTTTTCTCCGCGGCGTTTTCGTCCGCTATGTTTTTGCCGCGATGGTTTTGGCTGAAACCATCTTCACTTGGGCATCCCAGCATTTTTTGATGAAAGTTGCATTCTTCACTACAAAAACTAAACTTCATAAGGGTGTTTGTACACCTCCCATGTCTTGGCGAACAGTGGGCAATTAAAAAAAGGGCGCTGGCACCATTGCACAGTTCAGTAATTATTCATTTAGATTTTCACATCACGTCCCGCCATCTTGAGAAACCTTGCATTTTTCCTTCTGCATGGCATAAATCGAATTTCATAAGGGGGTCGTGCATCCTCTGTATCTCGACAACAACAATCAATTTTCAAAAAAAGTGCCTACACTTTTATACGGATTGGCTGCTCCGATCAAACCAGCCCCATTCACCCTTGTTATCAAGACACTTGCACGCAAATTACACTAAATATAAGTATCATAAAAATTTTAACAAAATCTCTGTGTAATAACACTCTTCTATTTGGTTTTCGCCCCATCATCTCCGTCTATTACACAATTTATCTAATTTTCATAACATTCGATACAGTCGAAGTTTAATTAAAATAATACTCAAATAATCATGGATATGTAGTTCTGTGTACTTTTTTTAATTAAACACTATTACTTTTCCCAGTTTTATTTCCTGTTATTGAATAGAATTTAGTAAACATTATACGCGGTACCTGGTGGAAAAGTATTCGAAATAATGTAATTATGCATTATAGAATATTCATTCCCCATTTTCCTATTTTGGGTCATATGTGATGAAAGCTTCCAACCTTATTCCCATGCGCTGCTCGCCCACCAGCAGCCGAGCCGTAAAATCGCTGAACACTGGTAGTTCCGACCTGGCTTCGATTCTAGGGTAACGGGCTGGCTGCATGGTTTTCTCCATGTGTAACATATATACGAGCCAGTTTCTCTTAAAAGGTCCTCCACGAAGGCATCCCTCTCCTTAGCCAGATAGCTTTAGTGTGCTTTGACATGATCTACCGAACCCATGCGCTGTTCCTATGTATGAGTTAAATGATCTCAGGGGAATATCCTTGTCTCCCTGTAGAAGGATGGATCAGAATTATGGCAAGCGAAATGAATGTTCAGTATTGATGTTAATAACAGGATATTGAAAATAAATTCCAAAAGTGGAAAATAATCCTTTTTTGGGGGGACGGGGGATAATTAAGTGAAGAATCACAGACAATCTACTGCATGGAAGCTCTTGAAACATCACAAGCATCTCTACAAGATCTAACTTTGTTCGATATTTTTCTCACGGGTTATGCCGAAATCATTGTTGATCAGTATCAAGACCGACGATCTTCCTCAGCGTCTAAAAGCCAGAATAACGAACGATGTTACTACTGTTACACCGAAATGAGTCTTAAGCAACATGAGATGAGATTTCCTATAGCATCTTGTCATGAGGAGAACAGTGCTTTCACTGAAATCAAACAATTTGGCAGTTCACGGTTTTTCCTTTTTTTTTTTTTTTCCTTTTTTTTTTTTTTTTTTTAATCTGTGTTTTACTAATTTTACCATTTTACTTAGCCGTCCAACCAGTATAGTGGTTAGCGTCGCTGACTGCCGTAGCGAAGGGCCCGGGTTCGAATCCCGGAGAAGGCATGGATGTTTGTAAATGTATAGTGTCCTTGCGGCATGGGGGCACTCCAAATATGCTACGAACCGAAAGTTCCCTCAAGAGGTTGTGGTAGAGGAAGACGTGTGAGAAACCCTTGAAACCGTCCCCCCTTGGGGTTTTCTCTCCATCAAAATTGGCGGCGGAACTGACCTAAATCGCTCTGTTACCTGTAAAATGTTCAAGGCTGTTCCCAACGACAGGCTTAAACTTGCGCTTGGGCTGACTATAGGTCAGACAAGTGAGCATTAGCAACAACAACAACCATTCAACCTGATTCTTAATGAATTAACACACGAATGAAACGAAGCAAATTTTAATCTGACTAAATTTTAGAGCAAAAATGTTTCTGCTTCGACGAAACCTGGCAGAAATGATTTCTTTAAAGAGCAAAAATAATCTGCTGCCTCCGTTAACTAAAATGCTAAAGAATTCAATTCTTACATGGAATAAATACAATACAGTACAGTTGTTTTACTGTTAAAGATAAGAAAAACGGTCATTTATTACTTACTTCAAATGTAAGAACTCTAACTTATTAGCGGGCTTAGAAATCATGGACCTAGAAAAGGACTTCAGTTTATTATTTTGCAAGGAAAGAGAATTGAGGTCATCAAACGCCACAAACAATTTGTCTGGAACTGAAGTGAGTCCAGTACTGTCAATTGAAACTTTGTGGACTTGACCTTTAGCAATATGAGCAAAGTCGGTACTTATTTCTGACATGGGAGTGTCATCGATAACAATGGTCAGTTCCTCTTCTAATAAGAAAGAAAGAAACAAATTAAAAATTTTTTTTAAATGCCATCAGTTTAATTTTTTTAATAAATTCCAGATTAATCTAGTATGTTTAGTAATAAAAGAATAATTTCTTAGCAAGAATGAAAATGAATTAATAAATAAAAACGAGCAAAATATTTTTTAATTCATTCCTATAATCACATTTTAAAGTTTTATTATGTTTGAAAGAGGTAAAGTAAAACATCTTCCTTTCTTATTGTTGTAAAAAACGCTATCATTAATATAAGAATTATAATCAAACTAAAAATGTATCATATAGTGATACAAAATGTTATGAAACAACCTGCACTCGGAACTAAACTTTTTAAATTAGAAATGCAATAGCTCTATGGAAAGTCTTCAGAAAAGATGAACAAAATTCAGAAAAGATTATTATTTAAAAATAATAATATATCAATGTTTTTAATTTAATAAAAAAATAATTAAAAATAATAATATAGCAATGTTTTTAATTAATAAAAAAAATAATTAAAATAACTAAAAATTTGAAAGGTTTTTAGATTTTAAATTATTATGTGTGTCACCTTTATTTATTAAATATCACGTTCTTCGCCCTTAAACCATAAACTTCAGTTCAACAGCAATATCGCAAAATAATTTTAAAATGAGCATGCCTTTAGAATTTCCGATACACAATCTACTGCGCTAAAGTCCCCCCCCCCGTAGAGTGTTGCTATTACTCGCTTTTAAATCGTTGAGTTTGTTAATAAAAAATTCGTTGAAGTTTTACAAAATATGAAATCGCTAATAAAACAAATTTCAAATTCAAATTAAGGCTTCCACATGCCCATATTCTATGGAAGGTTACTTTATTCAAATTTTGATGGCTCTGGGTACCGTTGTTTTAACACAATGCGAGAAAAATACATACATTTATGCAGATTTTTCATTATTTAAGTTCTTTAAATACTATAATGCAGGGCGATAATATTTGGTGGCAACAATTCGAAAAGTGAAACAACTCTTATCGTGAATCGACGCACATTGCCAAAACGAAATTAATAGTCCTGGGCAAACAGCCCTTTTGGACTAATAAACAGATAAATAAAAAAGTTAATAAATAGAATTAGATTAATGACAAGTATTTAAATAATAAATTAAAGTGCAAAAAGTCCTTTTATTTTTTGCTCCGGATTAAATTACAATCGCACTAAAATTCTCAAATGTACCGGAGTCAGGCTTTGATAGCTTCCGGCTAAATTTGCAAACTGAAAACATAGAAAAACCCTTGATATCCCCAAACTTCAAAATTAACTTTTTTTCCCCCCCTTAAAACTTGAGCAAACAGAAACTTGCTTAAAACTTGGGTAAAGTTTTTGTAAGAATGGTTGGTTAGGAAATAACCTCAAGAAACAATAAAACAAATTCATATGTTAATAACCAATTGCCGGAGAACATTTTACATCGAAGTAAAGATTGAATCTGAAAATTCTAGTAGCCGTTTCACCAGTTCTACAAAATTAACCTCAAAGCTAAAATTTTGAGTCCTTCAAAGCATTTAGGTCAGTTAGCGAAAGTAAGATTTTATTCTAACATTTTTAAATTTCTGGCTGAATACTTAGTTGTAAACTAACGAAATTCTGAATATTAATCAAATACTCGACATCTAATTTCCTAAATAACATTACCTGAATAGAAATTTTTCAGTTGTTTCCAGTCCCAGTTTTTAATTCTGCAATGATCAAATTTGATGACAGCTGAGCCTGAAGTGTATACTTCCGGTATTTCCTCTGATCCAGGTGGAATTAGCCCATCCATCACAACATGCTTTATAGCAATATCTACAGTCTTCGAGGAAAGGAGGCTTTTCCATAGTTTGGCAGGAATTCCAGATACTTTGCTGTTAACCAAAAAGAAATGCACGTACCCCTCACACAAATTAGGGATATTAGCTAGTTTCTCTAGCTGTTCTTGTGATGTTAATCCGCATGCAATATAACATGAACCATCATAGTATGTCTTGCATGTACAAGGACTAATTGAGGTCTTTGGACATTTATCCTCTTGTGCTATGCATGTACCGAACAAGCAGACTAAGAACAGGAAGAATTGAAGATTCATGTTGGACATATCTGCAATGAAAGATCGGAAAGTATAAATTTAAATTATGACATAAAATTTCAGTAACATGCGCCACATGACTTAGATTAGATGCGCCACATGACTTAGATAGGCATTCCAATATTTAAATATGTTGTTAAACTCCAGACGAATGTAGTCATATGCTGTAAAATTTGAAATTTTAATAAGCTATTTCAGACTAGACCTGGTACATTTTTATAAATTTTTAATGTTCCAATTTTCTTTCTTTCTTTCTTTTTTTCTTTCTTTTTTTTTTTTTTTTTTTTTTTCCCCTCATATCTAACAATTTCTTCTAAACTCAGTGGAGCAACAGCCCTATTGGGTCACGGCCTGTAGTGCCCCCTTTTATTTATTTATTTATTTATTTATTTATTTTTGCTTTTTTGACCTTTTGGCCTCGGAGTGCATCAGCATACGCCCTGGACAAGTGGTCAGCCTGTCGCAGGACTCCTAGTGTTTAGTCCCTAAGCGAACTTGGTTCACATCTTGTTGACTCACTCAACGGATGAAAAGCTGAGTCAACCTTGCCCAGCCCGGGGATCTAATCCTGGACTTGTGATGCAGCTGCGCGACGCGATAGCCACTTCGCCACCGGGTGGTAGTAATTTCTTCTTTTGAGGTAAAAACAACAAAAACAACATTACAGAGTCTGACATACGAATTTTAAACCTCATCCTGAATACAGTATACTAGAGAAAAGAGGCTCCCAGACGTAGGCTTAAGATGCCCTTACACGGTTATAATGCCCCAAACCCTAGAGGGAATCCAAGGAGGCATCCCCGGTCAAAAATGCACACAGTCTGAGAATAAGTAACACAAGTCAATGGCGACCGGCAAACAGTCACCAGCAAAGGGAACATAGTACGTGGTAGTCTGTCCCCCAGGGCGAATCAAGGCCACCTTCGATATTAAACCATGTAACATTCGCACAACCAAGGGCAGACAAGACAATATTAGTACAGTGCCTGACGAGCATGTACCTATCACCGAATAAAGGATGATTTTAGTCACTGTGAAGACCCCTAGAAGTGGGTCTAGGACCTCTCGTCATCGCCATTTCGCCGTCAAGACATATTTTTTTTTTTTACATGACTGTATTTTATCTTGCTTATTATACTCGTATTAAATTTATTTAGTTCAATAATTCTGACTACCCTTTGTATATTTAGTAAAGGTTGCTTTCAATATATGCAGTTATTTACAAGTATGAGATATAGAGAAATCACACATAGTTGGAAAATTATGTGAGTATCAAAGAGAACTGGGGCTAAACTTCTGATATAACAGAAGCTAAATTATCAATTTTAAAATTATGCGGTTACAATATTTACATAATTCGTCAGAACTTTCTTGAAATTTTAATCGTCCAGTTCAGAGAAATCACTCATACAAAGCAGGAAATCCACATTTTTATGAAATCTGAATGGAAAACGGAATTACTTTGGAATCTTACTCTCTTAAAATTAATGTCAAGTGCAACGGTGTATTTGCATAAAACTGTACACAAAAACATTTTATATAAAAAGTTTATTAAATTAAATAAAATTATTAATCTAAACAGAGTTATTAATTTAAATCAAATTAATACGGCAAGATATAATACTGTCGTGTAAAGAAAAATATGTCTTGACGGCGAAATGGCCCCGGCGTCCCTTTTCCCCCAGAAGTTGAGTCTGTCTAGGTACTGGTCCTAGCAAGAACGCCGGGAGTTGCCCCCTCCCCCTGTAGACTCTCACGGATCAAGGCGTTGTTGGCTTTCGGAGTACCTTTGCTGAAAACAGCAATAACCTCCGCAACTTCGTTAAGAAAAACTGGAAAATTAAGAATTAAGCATGGCTGAAATAGAGAGTGAGAACCGTTAAAGGGTGTAAAGGTACAAGAGATCGATAATTTAAAGGTACAAGAGATCGACTCTTACGCGGATCGTCTTGAATACAGAAGAGGGTACTTAATAATAATAATAATCCAATGATAAACCAGGTCAATTTTAAATGCACTGGCAAATAACATTGAAGCTCAGTTTGGCTTCTTAACACTTACCCATCTATAAGAGTAAACTAAATTTTAATTGCTAATTTTGGTTGAATATCACTTTAGTCTTCTGATTTTATCAGTAGGAAGTAAAATGAAAATGATCATGAAAGGCTTCATCAATTCTATTTGTTGTAAAGTAATATCAACTGACAAGATAAATCAGTCAGCAATGTTTAGTATTTAGACAGAAAAATTATGTACCTAGAGGCAGAGTGAAAGCTATTTTGAAATCATTTTAGATGACATTAAAACTAAAAAATTATGAATGCCCTTTATGGTGAAATAATATCATCTAGGATGAGTTCTTAATCATATTTCAAATAAATTGTAAGGTTTAATTTACTAATAGTTATTTTAAATTGTTAGCTTATCTTCTCCTATTCCCCTCACGTTTCCTCGCCAGGATGTAAATTAGGTAGGGCGAATGAGTGTATTTAAACTGACGTAGCGAAAAATTAAGTCAGAGCCTGGTTTCACTATTGTGAGCACACGTTGTTATTCCTTCCAACTGTTAACTTTAAATATCGGCTTCAAATTCTTCTCGCCGAATTATTATTACCCTGCCGGTGTAAGTTCTGAGCCAGAAATTTTGGCAAATTATGTAAATATTGTACCTGCATAATTTTAAAATTGATAATATAACTTCTGATATAACAGAAGTTTAGCCCCAGTTTTCTTTGATGCTGACATAATTTTCCAACTATGTGTAATTTTTATATCATACTTTTGTAAATAACTATATATATTACAAGCAACCTTTATTAAGTTTACAAAAGGTAAACAGAATTATTAATCTAAATAAATTTAATACGAGTATAATACAGTCATATAAAGAAAAATAAGTCTTGACGGAGAAGCGTCCCGACGGCGTAACGGCCACGGTGAAATGGCGAATGCGAAAAGTCCTAGACCCAACTGAAATAGCCTTAATATTTACTGTATTATTTTAAATGAAATACTATAATGATTCTATACTTTTCCACGCAAACTTGTTAAGACTTCCAAGTAAAGTACCACATACGGTTTATCATATATGTAGTTAAAGTTTAATATATTGCTCTGTCTTTATTGTATATGCATCATATGTTTATATACAAGATTTAAATACTAAATTTGTAAAGTTTTGGATTATATCCTAACATATATTTCTTCGCGAAAATATGTTCAGAACTTCGAGTAAAGTATCACATCCGGTTTAACAATTTTACCAAAATCTAATATGTTATTCCCATTGATAAAAAGCATCATACACATAGACACAGAGACATTATTTTTAAAATAATAGAAAAGTATTGTGAGGACTCTAATTCGTGCTTAATCACTGAAAACTCCACATCCATTTTTTGTGCCGTAAACATTATCTTCCTTACCTGTACATATAGGTTGACAAGAGGTCATAAAAGGAGAAGCCATCAGTTTCTTTTAGTCTGTCCATAGCTGACACACTTCTACGGCCGCACAGGGGCCGAGCGGTAAAATCGACTCGTAGTTTTGTCCTGGTTTTGAATGCTGGTAAACGGGCCGTCATGGGCGCTTTCGTGGTTTTTCTTCCACATGTAACGTGTATACGAGCCAGTTTTCGTTACAAAGTCCTCCACGATGGCATCCCTTTCCTTAGGCAGATAGCTCTTATGTGCTTTGCCTTAATAAACTAAACCAAACCAAACCAGACTGATACGTATCATTTCTTAAAACATAAGCTCATTAGCGACCGATCGGTAAAACTGCTCAACACTGGCCTTTCGACCCGAGTTTAAATCACGGCGAACGAGTGTTTTCCATTCTGGTAGTACGAATGCAAGTCGGTTTTCCTTAAAAAGTTCTTCAGGCAGGCATCCTTTACAACTAAGCAGATAGTCCTCGCATACTTAAATATTCACGTACATAATTTAAATAATCTAGTTTAATCCTTAAGGCAAGAAAAAATTTTGCATATATATTTGTAAAACTAAAATTGTTATTGGGAGTCTAAATCCCTTAAAAAATCACACTTAAATCAAGTTAATTCGCATTTAAGAATTCTCAGGGCTGAAGCTAAGTTTTTTGCCGCTTGGCTGTTTCTAAAGTCTGCTCCCCCTAAATTATGCAACCTAACGGGGATTTCGGAAAGTATCTGATGTCTATTTTTTGTGAAAGAAAAGCAAAGATAATAATTATAACGAAGGGCATTAGAAATAAATTCGACCTATAGAACTTTTCGAGTTGAATAAGTTTGAGCTAATCGAGAAACTTTAATATTAAATTTTAATGCAATTCAAGTGAAGAAAACTTTAAGTTTGATCTATCAAAAACTTTTAAATACTGAATTTTGATTAAATGATGTTCATTTTTTTAATATTAAATGAATAGCATTTTCTCGAAAATCAACACACAATGAATAATGTAAGCAATTTATATGGCTTTAAAAAAATGCATTACCTGGAATGTACTTCTTTGACTAATCCGAAACCACAAATCTCAGCAAACACGTAGCATTATACGAATTTCCAGTTTTTGCCATCTGGTTTTTTCTCATTTACTTTATCAGCATTCGTTGATAAAGATCCAGATACATAAATCGCCATTTACCTTTTGTAAATGGTATCGAATTCTCACGTCTCAAGGTCAAGAATTATTCTTCTCTGCCTTACATCGTATATGATTTTGGTTATTCTAAATCACAGTCATCAATGACGCGAAGATACACGACAATTCACATTTTAAAAATTTCTTAGAAGACAAAGAGGAGAAAAAAGAAAGAAAAAGAAATAGTATGACACATGGATACAAAACTGAGGTAATATAGCAGTTAAGCCTATTTTAAAAGAATTCAGTGTTTTCGTTTGTGTGAATTATCTGCTATTGGAGAAGATGTATTACACAATACTGTCGATAACCGTTTCACATTTTATAACAAATTAAATACTAATTTTTTAATAGTTTTTATTTCAAACCTCGTATTGATCTTAAAATTCAAAGTGAAAACTAAGAACTTCAAATAAACTTTAAATATTTAATCCATTGATTTTTGAAGGAACTATAATCCATGGTTAAAAAAGTTGACTTGCATCCTTCAGAAGAATATTTCAGAAAGGTGTTAAGATTTAATTTATATCCTCAAGAAGATCCAAATAACAAAAGAAAAGATGCACTTTGAATTGTGTTGTTCATTTATAATTTTTTATTTATAAACTTTGTTTTGTTGATTTTGGATTCATTTCATTTGAGCTGTATTCCTTTCCTAACTGCTTTATCAAGAATAAACATACAATTGAAAGAAAAAAAAAATGTCTTCATAGCAGTCAGTATGAGAATAGGAAAAAAATCGAATCTGAGGAGTTATTGTAATTAAGCTGTCATCGCTCCAAATTCTATTTTCATTTTCAGTAAATCAATGCTTTAAATGAAATGCACATAATAATTAATATTGACTATTTAACAATTAGAAACTTTCTAAAACATCTAAAAACTTTCATATTTTACATTACGCCCAAAGGGGCGTTTCCTTAACCTTTTGTAGGTTACCTTTATTTATTAAATATCATGTTCTTCGAACTTAAATCATAAAATTCAGTTCAACAGCAATATCGCAAAATAATTTTAAAACATTAGCATATCTAACTCTCTCGCCAGCTAGAAATACATTTTTTGGTACACTGTTGCCATTGCTTTGTTTGAAATCGTTGAGTTTGTTAATCGAAAATTTGTTGAAGTTTTACAAAATATGAAATAGATAATAAGACAAATTCCAAATTTTGGCTTCCACACGCTCGTTATTCGGGCAGAAACGCAGGTTATTCAGAATTTGATGGCTCTAGGTACCACTGTTTTATCACAATGCGAGAAACATACATACATTTAAGCAGATTCTTCATTATTTAATTTCTTTAAATATAATACAGGCCTGTAATATTTGGTGGCGACAGTTTGAAAAGTGAACTGACTCAAGTTTCCAACGCAAAATGCCAAAACGAAATGAACAGCCCTTTTGGGCTAAGCACTTTGGGCTAAAAAAAGAAATTAGGAATTCAATCGTAAATGTTGTGTTAAGGATACTTAATTTTAAAAAGTCTCGCGTTTTCCTAAGACTTAACCCTGTGAACTCTAACATAAAATCTTTGCATTTATTGGACATTTCAGACATTTAGTTAAGCATTTAGTTGTTTTTTAAAATTTTTATAGTCATTAATATTTATTATTATTCGGATATTTATGTAAGCGACGTGTTCAAAAATATATTGCTGAAATACAGGGCAACATCTTACAGTTGTCCTCCATATCAGAATGCCTTATCCTCTATATCTAAATATCTAAAAATTTAAATCATTAATTGAAAACTTGCTTATGTATCTATGTACAAAGCTTTGTCAGTTTCCAATCGTTTTTTCTTGGTGTGGCATTTTCTCTGTCAAGTACAGTATAAAACATTTTTAAGAAATTTAAAAATTGCCAGGCAAAAGTTAAAAATTCTTTAACATGCATAAACAACAATAAAAATAGAAATTAACAATAGTTTACGGTTTTTGCATTGATTTATTTAGTTTGCTGTTTTTAATAGAATTGTTACTAAATTGTTTCATTTACCCAAGCAATGCTGCATGCAAGTTATTTGAAAAGAAAGCTACGCTGGGAAAATTAAAAATACGAGAGCACGCGCATTTATTAAATAGATACCTTGTACCCTTTTAATATCAAGAAAAATCGAGAAGTTTCTCATGCTTTTCTAAAAAGCTTATAAAAGCGGGATCAAAAACCTCTCAGTCCAGTTTTGTTTGCAAAACTGTTGTTGTTTACTGAAGCGAATTCGCGGTGAAATCGGATTAGCTTTCTCTGTTTTGAAATAAGTTCTGATGAACATTATCGTACTTTCAAAAGATAACTACTGTGAGATATTGCAATATTGCACGAATATCCGAAGAAATTTAAGCATTTTGTTTTATTTGTTCTGATAATAATCAATTTAATTCACTTTTCATTGGACTTGTGCATTCAATTTATTACGAGCCCGTACGCACGCAACAATACTTAAAAGCGCTTTTTGTGAAATTTAACTCTCATCTTGAGGACCATCATGAGAAAAAGAAGGGAAATAACCTAAATAAGCAATGGATATAAATCTGTAAAGAGAAGAAATGAAATAAGAAATAAGAATATAGTATACTACGAAATGAGACTGTTATGAGTATGTTTAGATACTTATATGAAAATACAGTTTTATCCATAAACGAAATATATTCTACCGTTCGTATATACTATTTTTAGAAACTGCAGAAATAAAGAAATTACAAGAAATATTGAGCATACATTAAATGAACAGCCAGATCAATAATGAAAGGGCAGCAGAATTTTAAGTGCATGTAACACAATTAAAGAAAGAGAAGAAAAACAAATGGAATCCAAATAACCCCCTCATGGCTATTGATTTTTACAGCCAAAACAAATTTGATTTAAATGCAAATAATGAAAACAATTAAATAAAACACCAATTATTCTTCTCGCTGGGAATTTTAAGAATTATCTTTTTTTATGTTATTATTCATTTGTTACTGACATCAGAACTGAATAAAACAACAGTCTCTAGCTATGATACAACAAAATCCGTCATGGCAACACCACAGCTGAAAGTGAGCAGTATTCCGAAACATAATTAAAGAACTGTACAGAACATCACTGACATTCGTACTCGGTAATGCAGTCACTTACACAGGAGACTAAATCGTCTGCAACAACAAGTAATCATTTGAGAAATGTTTCATTATGTTCACTTTCTCAACAATTTACATAGCTTTCTGAAGCTATTGTACTGAAACCCAATTCAGATATTTTTAACAGGGCGAGTCATGTTTTAGTTGTCAACTTTGCAACAAAAGCTTTGTTGAAGAAGAATTAAGGAACTTGTTGCCAATTTATAAAAGATTTTCTTTTTAATAATATAAACTGAATCTCAAAACATATCTAAACAATCACTAAAATATTAGAAATTACTCAAAAACACATATTATTCTAATATTTTTATCAGATAAAGCTGGTGCTTTCGGATCAAAATGATTCTAATGCTTCTACACTTCTGTAGTCTGAAGAATTAGCTTTTATTTAATTTATACTAAATAAACCAACAATAAAAATTACAGATCCAGATTTCCGCTATATTTCATTTTTTATGATATATTCAGTAAATATTTAACAAAATAAGAGTAAAGAGTTAAATAAGTTTATATTTAACTTTTTACTTTTTCTCCGTCATATTTTTTTTAAACAATAACTTACAGTTTCTTTAATATTGATTATTCTTCGTCACTTGCTTTCTTTTTTAGAATAAAAGAAAAGGCGGTTTATACATAAAATGTTTTTAATTTGTACCTCTGTGTTTCTCAACCAATTTTTATCCATGCCACTGCTAGAATCCCTCCTCCCTCTGTCCTTTCTAAAACTTGAAAAATAAATATGTATTTATTTAGATTTTGGTTATTTTTTCACGTGTTCTTATGAATTAACCAAAATGTGCAGAAAATGTTGATAAATAAGAAAACTTATATAAAAATAGTTTTTTATTTTATAATTCATTAACAGTTAAATAAAAGGTTGACCACATTCTCTCCTCCCGCCAAAACTGGGCAATTCTTTCCCTGAGAGAAGAACCCCTTATGTACCTGCTTAATAACTTTAACTAAAAACTCATATGAAAACCTATAAAAACCTACAAAATTTCTATACTTTATGTTGATCCATTATAGTAAGAAAATAATGCAAGCAAAATTATAATAACTTGAAATATTAAAAACTGATACAGTTAATAACATATTTTCAGTTTTCAAGGTTGTTAATAGATGGCAGCACAAGCTAATTATAAATTTTTGGGATTATTTATTATTAATTTATTTAAACAAATAATTAATTATTTTGTTTTAAAATGCACAATGTTGCATATTTGACAAAAACAAACAACCCAGCGGTACTTTTGCAACTTATATGATTGACTGCGAGAGAGGATTCACCACAATAAGACCAATTAAATGCCGGCGACATGTGGTCTTCTCGGAGCCTCCAGACACGTATACGGCCATCAGAATACTGCACGAAAAACCGGGACTCTTCTGAAAAGGAGACATTGTGTCACTCCTGTATTCCCTGTATTCAGCTTTCTCGTTTGGCACACCAGAGTCGCCGTCTCTATCTATGCTGCATTGTCAAGGGAAGTCGAAATAATGGTCTCCGTGCTGATGGTCCACGTTGCTGCAAACGTCTATGCACCTTATGAGCTGATACTAAGCGTGCTGCAAACATGCCCATTTGCTGACTAATGGTCCGTGATGTCATACGGTTGTGCAGGACCTGACCTCATAATATTTCTGTCCTCTCTGGTGTTAGTCATGGGAGGGCGTTGAGATACTGTATGCCGTTCAGTATGACCCTCCGCAATCCATTGATTCCGTATTCGCATGGCAGTGGCTGGATGTCGACCAGTGTGACTGGCGATATCAGGAAACGATAATCTACACTTTCGAGAGGCAACGATCTTGCCTTTATCGAATTTCGAAACTTGCTCTTCGAGGCATAAAACGGTTTCCTGAGCAAACTCCAAAACCTTACA